ACGACAAGAGTCAGCTGCGGAAGGACGATAGCAGAAAAGGGCTGGTCCTACCAATTCAGCCCTACGGCCCGGCTGATCTAGCCATCCCTTCATGCTTTGTACCTGGAAGTACCGGCATGGATTGCATTCTAGATCGCCGACCACACCAATACGAGCTGCACTTCAGATCAATAGATCGGCGCCGTCAAACCTCCCTACCACGGTCCGGCATAATCACAAATAGACGGAAAGAGCCTGAGCAAAGCTTGTTCTATTTTTGGCATTGTAACTGTCTAATTAGGAGTGCCCCCAAAGCCACAGCTTCAATGGGGGCGTGAGGAAATTCATCTTTCTTTTTATATCTAAACTCAAATTCAGGCAACCCAACGCCTCATAAGATGTTGCCGAGTAAGTCTACTTCGGTCTTATATGGGACAAGAAACCAACAATATCTTCTAATGACGACCAAAATCGCCAAGTAATCGCTGAAAATAAGGACTGGAGCTAGTCAAGGGAATCGTTCATATGCAAGCCAAGTGTTTTATCAACACACTCTTATAGCCGGCTGCCACTACCACCAGAGTATGTATGTGCACAGTAAAATAGGCGCGAGCGACACCCATACACCGGCAGCTCTGAGAACACGGGCAGCAGAAACCTGCCCGCAGCAGTTCCAGTCATATGTGACGTTGTTCATCTGGGCTGCAACCTCGAAAACCGAACCGGGAGGGTCGCCGTAATTGTAGTAGTCGACATTAAGCACATTCGGTGCGCGGCCCCAGTCCGACCGGCAGTTGTTGGCAGCCATGCCCAGGCTCCCGTTACCCGTTGCATTATTGGTCTGGTTGAGTAGAGACACCGCAGGGACAAGTAGCTGGGTAGAGAACACATTGAACTCAGCATTCAGGTTGTGGTTCATGATGTACAAGCGGTTCCGAGCAGACTCGTCACTCAAATCCGGTGGTCGCTGTACAGTGCATGGGAAGGTTGGGTCGGTTGGGTCGAATGGTGTCTCCCACACCTGCGAGAACTCATCCAAAAGCCATGGATACTCGTTTTGATCGGCGCTGTAGTCTAGGAACATTATAACTCGCTTGCCCCGAACAATAAGATACTCGAGGGTAGGCCAGTCGTCGTAGGACATGGGCAGGTATGGTGCCTGGTAGGCGTATGTCGTGATGCCAGATTGCTCAATATACGGAGCATACAGGGAAGGATGAGAGTAGTTGCCATTGCCGAGCAGGATGGTCACGACATCATAAGGATGGGCAGCTACCCACTCCGTAACCTCAGACAACCATTCGTTGATAGGCCCAGCATCAAGAAGGTCGCAAGATGTGTGGCAGAAATGAGGCACAGAGCCGTTTACGGGAAACTGGATCTGGGCCTGCAGAAAGCGAACACCATCGTCGAGCTGGGTCTTGACGGGCAGTTCTTGGTTGGAGCCAGTGTTACCAGGTCGAACAAACGGAGAGTTGTGGCACCCTACAGCCGTGATGTTGCTGTACTTGCGTGTGCAAAGCTCGACATAGCCGTTGCATGGCTGAGTGTTTGTTGGCGCTGCAGAGCTGCTCGTTGATGAGACTGTAACATTTCCAGCTGTCGTCGTCGATATAGATGACTCCGTTGAAGACAGACGCTCTGAAAAGGTTCCAGTGACGGAAGCACTCGTAGCGCCTGTCAGAGTAATCTTGGAATTGTACGTAGTATAAATGCTGCTTGGAGGCCCGGTCGCTACACTGGTTTTGGTCCTGGTTCCTGTGAAGAAGCTCAGGTCCGAGGTGTCAGAGAAACTGACAGACTGTGCTGCAGCGTGGCCCCAAAGCAGTGGCAGGAGCGACACTGCCGTTTGGCCTAGAGATACCGCCTGGTTGAGGCGCATCTTGGATGATTTGGTGAGCCCCGGGCTCGGCCAAGAGGATGAGTGGGTAGTTTGCAAATATGTGTAAGGTTTGTGTGTGTAGATGAGGTTCCTCAACAACGCCCCATTGCAAGCAAAGCAAGGTATTGTTGGGAAGATATGGGATGAAGGAGACCCGGGGGATCACCGAGGGGAGAGTAAAGCCAATTGGATTTTTGTGTCCAAACTGAACTGAATTGCAGAAAGTTTCCGGGAATGATCTTGCAATGCGAAATTCGGATGGCCCTGAGCTCAAGTGGAACCTATGACGGCAGAGGTCACGCTAAGCGGCAAGTAGTGTGAAAAAGTAATACTTTAAAGAAAGGACGAGACACGCGTCTTGCCTTAGATGATGGCTACTATGGAACTCACACACAGATTACGCAGGGGAGCCAAGACTCACCAAGCCCCTAGACCTGCCGAAGGGCTGTGCTCTGTTGTTTTGCAATCTGGGCCTTGGCTTGGTTTGATTTGTGTGCAGACGCCCGTTGATGAATTGTCAGCGGCAAAGGTGGACCAGGACATCCATCCCTTGCCATGTTTGCCTAAAGGCTGTAATGGTGTCCGAGTGTCTTCCGGATCCCCGTCAGGTTCTGGGCCGCCTACCGTGTCTCACTGCCTTGTTCATTTGGCCGAATTAACATTGTATAAGGATGGGCGGTTTGGCGGCGATTATCCGTGGGTATCAATGGATATCAATGCTGATGATCCGGTAGATCAAATCCATCTCAGCAGGCATCGGTGAAAACTCAGCTGGAGCCCCCCTTGTCCGCGAGATGATGAACGGCATGGCATGTCTTGGGTTTTGAGTCGTGCCATTTGTTGCCGAGATACCGTTGACGCGTACACTCACAGGGCGGAGCCATCGTGGATACGAGCTTGGGCCCGCCTCCTGAAGCCAGCCCTTGTGGTGGATGGAAACTTTATTCAGACAGTCGGACTGGCTCGACAAGGAAGGGTTTTCTCTGGGTGCATTGGGTACCTAGTAATTATTGTTCGACTTATCTGTGCTTGAGTGAGCACATACACAGCTCAAGGTAGCATTTAGAGCCCCAGCACTCTTCAAAGGCGTCTGTCTGAGCCTGCTCTACATGTACTGTAGGACCATTTTGGAAGGGACAGGGTGGCACAGGGTTGATCTACTGGTCCACCGATTAATGCCAGATGGAGGGGTGGCTTGCCGCTTGCCAGGCCCTAGCTCCACTGCTGCCAGGGGGGAGCGGATGGGATGGGACGGTGGGTTTCATGCAGCTCTGCGCCTACAGAACGTGCGCTGTCTAGGCCAGGTCGGGACTCAGACAGTGGTCTCGGCACCACTAACAGGTACGCCAGCCAGTCAGGACGCTCCCTGCCGCATTGCCGTGCCGACTCGCTTGCAAAATGACGTCGATCAGACTTGTTCTTGGGCTGCTGTCCACTGTTCCACCAGGCACGTAGATTTTTAGTAGGTGATGTACCTGGAAGCGTTCCGTGATTGATGCAACAGCTCCACCATCCAAGCTTTCAGTAGCAGCATTCTTGTTTGCCTGGTCTGCCCACTCTGCCTCAGATAACTCTCTGCTCGCCATAATTGCTCCTCCGCCGTGGTCGCTTGTCACCTCTGGGTGCCATGGTTTGATATTGTGATATTGCCGTCTCTGGAATCTGTCGTGTCCAGTCTCGCCCAATTCACCTCCCATCATCGCCCAAGAAGTGCTGCGAAGCCAGCAACCAGCTCGCACAATGCGCGGGCCTCCAGCTCGACGCAACACCACTATTGTGGCTGCTCTTTTCTACTTCATCACCATTCCATTTCTGATTATGGTCTCTCTTGGAAACACCCACATAAATCCTATTCTCAACGACATTTATTTTTTCAAGCTCGATGTCTCCCAGATCATCCCCATCTCAGTGGAAAACTCCAACCTACTCAACTCGGTGGCTCGAAGCCTGGGGCTTCATGACTTTTATCAAGTTGGCCTGTGGAACTTCTGTGAAGGCTACAACAATGAGTAAGCTACCCATCCCATTCCCCTAGTGGATTTGTTGCCCAACAGCAGCTTTTGAAGCATCGTGAAGCTGATTGTGTTTGTCCAGGGGCGTAACCTACTGCTCCTCGCCGGTGCCCTTGTACTGGTTCAACCCGGTAGAAGTCCTTGTTGGTGAGCTTCTTGCAGGCGCCAAGATTGCTCTCCCCTCTGCCGTAACCACCATCCTCACGCTTCTCAGGCTGGGATCGCAGGTCATGATGGCATTCTTCACAGCTGGCACGGCTCTGAATTTTCTCTTGATCTTCTTGACCCCCCTGGCGCTGTGCACACGCTGGTTCTCCCTGGCCCTCTCCATCCTGGGCGTAATCTCGTCCATCCTCGTGGGCGTGGCTGCCATCATCGCCACCGTGATCACTGTTGCCGCCAAGGTGGCCCTCACAGCTCAGGACGAGCTCAACATCAGTGCTGATATTGGCATCAAGATGTTCGTCTTCATGTGGATCGCCGCCATCTTGAGCGTCCTTGCCCTCTTCCTTCATCTGGCCATGGGCTGCTGCTGCAAGCCCCAGAAGCGAGGTGCTGCATACGAGGATGGGACACCCGAGGTCAGGGAAAAGCCAAGCAAGGTGAACTTGCCTAGCTTTGTTCGTCGGAGGCGAGGAGCTGCAGCCGAAGGTGATACGTCAACCTCGACCTAAATCACAGACCAAAGTTCCGTGTACAATCACACTCACCACCCATCACATGGTTTCCTCAAGCTAGGGGAAGAAGGGTCTAAGCACTAAAGACCGTCATAATCACAACAAAAGCAACGACACATAGACATATTGTGGCTCCTGTCCAACGCATGCTTGCTATTTAGGACATGCATTTATAAGAGAGCCTTCAGATCACTGTTATATCATAGATTTAGATTTCAAACGCAATTTGTTTTCTCTAATAAAAACCAAGTCTAAAAGTAGGCCCCTTTCTTGCCTGTGGATAATAAATACTGAGTTATGACCGTAGTGTCAACATATACCAACGCCCTCATCAAATCACATTCTATATTCCCCCTTGTTAGACAACAAATCCGTCTAATCATCTCAAAATTCATGCTCATTAAGCATGCCCATATCATTTTTGCTTTTATTCCTTCATTCCTTCATCAATTATCGTCTCTCATGCACCCAATCCCCGCATTTGTCAAGGACGAAGCATTGATTCATCGCCATCACCAGCGTCTTCATCTCCGAGTTCCGGATATTGTCAAACGTCAACCAGTTAGGATAACGCTCCGGCGTGAGCGCATTGAACAAGTCTCTGAATGCCGCATCCCAAGCCTGATCGGCTATGGAGATGAGAGAGGCACCGAATGGCCAGACCGAAAAGAACCCCACGAGCGTCTGGAGCCACTGCATGTCGTAGACCTCCGAGGTCCGGGACACTTCGACCTCGTCCAAGCTCTGAAGCTGGTGCTCGACCACGTCCTCGATGTTCATCTTCTCGGACCAAGTCGATGTCATGGGAAACTGCCTGTTCGTTACGAACCCCTCGCTCGGTCCCGGCCAATCCGCCGGGTCCACATCCTCGAGCCACCGCTCATCAACCCGGATGATGACGGCGGGCTGTTTGTCCCTTGAGTTGATGAACTTGTTGAGCGGCATCTTGGTGATGTCCACACCCTCCGGGAGACGGACGCGATGGTTCAAGGCCTTGAGGCTTTCAAGGAACTCAGCGCGGCGCTCCCCACTAAGATACCCATCGCTCTCGAAGGCCTCGGTCGGGTGCAAGTCCCAGATGATGAGCTCGCCGGGGTAGTCCTCGTTGAACTGGTTCGTCTGCTCGATGAGCTCGTCGAACGCGACACCCCAGGTCCCCCACCAGCTATCGAGCGCCAGGGTGCCGTGGCCCGCGCGGAACCTCCCGCCCGCAGCCCTCACGACGCGCGCGTCGAGCACCCGGGCGCCCCCGTTGCGCAGCTGGTCGTACAGCGTGGCCATCTGCGTCACGGTGTTCCACTCCATGCCCGGGAAGCCGCCCTGGACCTTGTACATGCCGGCGTGGTGGCTGCGGCCGAGCACGATCTCGCGCAGGGGCTTGTGGCCGATGTCGTCGACCATGGCCTGCATCCACGCCGCGGGGCCGTCGTTGGTGACGAAGTCCCCCTCCGTCCCGGCGAGGATGAAGCCGACGCCATATGGGGATACTCTCGCTCCCAGGTTGAACTCGGCCCCCTTGTGGTGGTTCATGACCTCGAGGTCCTCGAGGAGCCGGATCCAGGGGAGGTGTAAGGTCCCGGATCGGTACTCCAGCATGAACGACATGGGCTTGTCGGTGCCCTCTAGGTGGTAGGCGACCTCCCCGGCGGAGTCGTCAGCATTTCGGAATATACTGACGCTGGTCGTCCTTGCGAGGACGGCGATGGACTCGCCGGGCTCGATGTACTCGGGCCATCTATCCTCCCACGCGCTCACGCGGTAGGAGTGAGAGTACCCCTTGCGCCAGCGGTAAGGCGTGGCGTTGATCATGTTGATGCATTGGCCCCATTTGTACTCAATCTCTCTTGTGCAACCATAGGACCATTGGTCTCGGCGCTTTAGATTGACCGTTTCAGCCGTGGCAACTGACATGTTGCCATATTGGCCATTGTTTGGCCCGGGAAACTGCACTGGTTCCCCTGTTGAGAGAATAGGGAGGGAGGACTTCCCGGTAGCCTCCCCAACAGTGATATTGTTTACGGATAGGGGGCCCGGTTGACCCAAAGGTTTAACAGTCTCGGATATTCCAGGGACTGGGGACCCGATAGCCAAAGCCGCAGCCAATATGGCGAGAAGAGAGAAATTTGAGGGTTTCATGATGAAGAGAAAATAAGAGAAACAGTATAGTACAACAGTATAGTATACCAAGAAAGAAGACTACTTTCTGGCGTTATATCAGAGCGTAGGTTATAGGTCGTTGAGAAAAAGATGTTGTATAAGAAATTGTAAGATGTCTGGATATTGCAAAGATGTGTAAGACGAGTGATGGAAAGTGAGTGTTGCAAAAATGTCAATGTACTGCTTTGTCGTTGGTTTTATAAGCAGGAACCAAGCTTGTTCTCTTTTTTTCCTCGCCACATGCATGTAAACTCCATGTAGGAGAGTTTATCTAGGACAAAGTCTTATGGTAACAAGGTTGAAGACACAGAGATACATTTCTGCGTTTTACGTTGCTGTATGGGCTTTGAGGCTGATATTGAGTTTCGTGAGATGGTAAAGTCCATTGGAACATTCAGTATCACCACCGGGACATAGGTATATGAAAATGAATACAGTAGCTCTACATACCAAACATCCACTGACTTGCATGTAAGTGTTATTGAACGGCGAGAATTGCTCGTATGACTGCTGATGAGAGTAGAATACATTGAAGAGTTGAATGGTAGAGGTTCAAGAAGATATGAAAGCAAGAACCAGGGAAAGTTTGGTATGAATTCTCTGTAAGTTTGCCTCAACACCACCACTGGGCATTTAGTCGGTGTTTGTGGCACCCTCTACACGCCCGACAATGTTGTACCTCTTGGAGAAGAAGGTGACCCAGTCATCCAGAACCTTCTTCTCGCTGTCAGGCAAGTCTTGCCAATTTGCACTGACGTCTTCTGGCTTGACTGATGACTTTCCAAGTGCTCTCGAGGCATCTTTGCCGGCGAAAACTGATGCGAATCTAAATCAGCATTTTTGCAATGCATAAAGCGTAAACTTGGCGTGGGATAGCTATGACTCACCGTTGTATGAGCCACCAGGTTGATAGGCCTTGTTGCCAGTCACATCGTATACTTTTCCCTGAGTTTGAACCATGTTAGATTAACGGCGTGCTGGGCGTTTTAAGCAAAAGACTAAGAGTAAAAAACTACATGCCTTGATAGCGACATAACATTTTTGTCCCTCGGTGCCTGTAAAGTACCAGTCAGCGTTTTGTATGGCTCGGTAATTCCTCGCTGCAACAACAAGGATTCATTTCAATCCAGATGGACTTGCCATTCGCCTTGGCCAGCTCCTCAAGAGAAATTGGGTCATCCTTGGGAGGGTCTAGGTTCACCGGAGCTTTGGGCTCGAACTTGCCACTCATATTTGCGGACAGCAGGGAACGTTTATGTGCGTTGTGTTGGGTGATTGTGAGAAGCTTCAATGTCGTAAGTCCGTCTTTTCACAACGGCGAGCGGATGGTGGTCTGGAGCAAGTGGGCTCGTTCAGTATTTATCGGGGAGGCGGGGTAGATGCAGGAGCGAGGGTGGGGATATCAACAGCTGCCGAGCTCGAAATAGAGCCGCTGGAAATGATGCAAGAACCGCTCCTAAGCACTACACCTATAATTGTTCTTGAGGTTGCTTCCGACAAAATAACTAAGTAGAATCAGTAATGAGACCTATAGGGCAATTTCTTTCATATTCCAATCCAAACTCGTCTTATTTATGTGCGAGCACAACACTCATTATCATAATATCTATGGGCCGGCTCTTCTAATTCCATCTTCAAGCACTTCAATTGGTGGGAAGCCCGCAAAATGCCGAGGTGGATAGGTAGCGATGAGCATCCAGCATGTGGGCAACCATTTCTGTCACCAGGCTCAACCAATTTACGGGCTCATTATCAGAATGAATAAAAATAAAATGAGAATCCGTAATTGAACAATAATTACCTACCTAATACTCCAGCATGATCAGGAGGCTTGCATCTCTTGGTTCACCAATACTTGTATCGATAGGTCGTGATTAGTCATGCTCCAGATTTCCTGGGCTCCGTCATGAACCACAAAGAAGAACATCCACCCGGCCCTCCCAAGCCTGTTGACGGCTCGTCGCCCGACATCTAGATTGCGATCCCATCATGTCCGTCGCCGCGGTCGCCTCCCTGCGGCCAATTCGCGGCCAATGCCTTCGCCAGGCTCGTACAGGCCTCCTGGCGCTCACCCTCACATCCCGCTCTGCGACTCTCAGCATCCGCATGACCGTCCCATTGCAACCGATATACCAGCGCTACCAGTCTACTGTCAAGGAGGCCGAGCCCGGGAACGAGGGGGACAAGCAGACGGAGAAGAAGCCAGAGAAACAGAAGTTGACTTTCCGCCAGTTCTGGGGGCGAGCACTCGCAGTCAGCCTGCGCAACCTCGCCTTCGCCGTGAGCCCCAAAGGCGTGCGACAAGGATTCCGCGAGAACCCCGTCTTGATCAGTGTAATTCTACTCGTGTATGTGCCAATCCCACCATGCTATTCTCCGCTCCTCGCAAGTCTCGAAACTCGAATGTTGTAGCTGACCTGACGCAGCTTGATTTTCTCAGCCGTCTATGGCACTATCCAAGTCCGCGCCTTCTATAAGCTCTTCTACAACCAGCAATGGAGCAGATACCCCGAGCCAGTCGCAACAACCCTTCGACGGGCGGTTTACTTTACCACCGTCACCCCCGACCCGGAACGAGCACTCAAGTTCTACAAGAAGGCAATGGCCGAGACCAAGCAGATCGGACTGGATCCTTTCACCGATGAGGTTGTCGGAATCAGGGTCATGGTCGCCTTCTGGCTCGAGAAGATTGGAAACTTCCCCCAGGCAATTGAGGTTCTTGAGGCAGTACGCAGAGACTGTCTCGAGTGGGTTGAGAATATGGAGAAGCAGGTCGCAAATGGCGAAATCAATGAGCAAGGAAGGCTAAAGGCAGCGGTTCCTTCAGACTCCACTGCACCCGTCTACTCGGCTCTGAATGACGAGACGAAGCCCCATTTGAAAGAGCAAGAGCTCGAGACTCTATGGCGGAGGCGCGAGCGACTCCTATCAAAGGCCGTCTCCATCAGCGTGAAGCTTGGCGAGGTCTTCGCAGACGAGCATGTCCTCGACCCCGACAACTCCCATCACCACCTAGTCTGGTCCGTCGAAACGACTCTCAAGGAGTTCCGACGACGAAAGGAGGAAGGCCCCAAGCCGGGCGAACAGAGCTGGCTCACCCCCGCCGAGGTTGGCGGCACCATGGAATCACTCGGCCGCGACTACGAGCGCAAGTCGCAGTTCCACCTGGCGATCCCGCTCTTCTTCCAGGCACTCCACAACTGCGAGAGCCCCTGCCACCGCGCCGTCATCATGAACAACCTGTCGGCCTGCTTCGCCCAGCACCCCCTCTATAGCCCCGCCGCGGGAGGCAACCCCGAGACCGAGTCCCTCAAGGACCTCTTCGCATCCTCCATGCCCAACACCCGCCAGGACTGCCTCGAGGCGGCCTCGAACTGGGCCAACAACGCCTACTTCCATGCAAAGGATGTCAAGGGGGATGACCGCACAGCCGAGTGCGACGAGGCGTGCGCCACCGCCCTCTGCAACTGGGGGGACGTGGCGGCCATGCAGGGCAAGACTGAACTTGCTCGAAAGAAGTACGAGCAGTGCGTCGAGCTGAGCAACAAGCTCGGGTTCGCCGAGGGAGCCAAGACTGCGCAGGATGGCTTGAAGAGACTGCGTGCGGCCGCATCCAAGTCGTAGATGGCCTGGCTCTTGTAAACTATCACAACTCCAATTTTCTGGTCGATTTTCTTCGCCAGCTGTATTAACGACTGGTCTCTACTTAGTTGTAGGTTGCCTTTTTCTCTGGAACGTCAGACGTTCCTCATGACTGTGTAAAATATATAGTAGCATATGACCGAATGGGATTTGATACAAATCAGCCAATGTTAGTCGAAATGAACTCGACGAAGTGAATAATAGTTCGTGCTCAGCAGCACATAATTAATTCCCTGACAATCATCATTATGTAGCATTGGCCATCTATCTGAATACGAGGACAAAGCCACATGTCATTGCAAGAGAAAAATGATCCCTCCATTAACTCCAAGCTACATGAAGGAGCCGACAAGTTGCAATCCCACCAAAAACCCAAATACTCTCATTCTTTACGGACGTAAATAAAACTCCAAAAACCGAACCAACGCTAAACGCCTTCTTGTTGCGTGATGTGGCCGTCATATCGACCGTCTTACAAATTCCCTAAGACATCTTCTGCCTCTTCGTATCCAGGCCATCTGTGCCAGGTTCCACCTTGGGAATTGCATTTGCTGGGACATCGGCCAGAGCAGGGCGCTTCATGGTGGGTTGCTTGAACGAGTTCCTGTTACTAAGAGGGCTCGCCGATACGGTCGGTGCGCCGATCCGGCGGGTTTGGTCCAGATTGGGATGAATAACGTTCCCTCTGGTGCCCTGACTGCCTGGGATTGAGGGTCTAACTGGGGTAAAGCTACTGGTGTTTCCCGACTGCGCTTGACTGCTGGTAGGAGCAACGTGCTGCCCGCTCCTGGCTAAAGGCCTGGATGATGTGTGGTCTATTCCGGGCGTTTTGCGGATCGATGGGCTCTCTGCCTTTGGGTTGAACATTTGTTGGCCACGTGGAGCACCAAGCTGGGCATTGTCGGGATTGTTCGAATCGGTGATTTGGTTAACGGCTTTTGCAGAAAAGAAGCCAACAGTCTCGGGAACTGCTATAGGAGCCGCCGGCGCTGGTTCATTCGCAAAGGGTCGGTTCTGAGGAACGGGGTTCGGGCGCTTAGCCTGACCAGCCGCCCCATTTCCTGCAGCCGATGGAATATATCGAGGTTGAGCTTGGTTGGGTGTTTGTGGTGGGCGAGGCGGCATCGGCCTTGGGGGATTGGGCTGATGCTTCACCGGCGGATCTGGGGCTGGGGCCGTGGTCTCTTCCTCCTCCGGCACACAGAAGTCGGCCTCATCGAGTTCTAGAATGATTCAGCATTCAGTTCTTCAAACGCATCAGACGGAAGCGTACCTCCAATTAGGTCCTCAAACGAGTCAGACCAAGGCAGATTAGGTAGGGCCTCTGGAGCAGGAGGTACATTAGAAACCTTTTGCTCCTTGACCTCCTCCTTCTTGACGAAATCAGCATGCCGGTGCAGATTATTCTGATCAAACTTCCTGGCTGGCTCCGCCTTGATCTTGACCACCTGCTTCACATATTCCTTGTCATAGATGCAGTTTCCCAGGACGTTCCCAAAGCTTCGTAGTGCTCGTTTCAATCCGTCTGTGGTACCCTCCTTCTTGGCCTTTTCAAACGCCATAGCCTTGTTCTTTGCATTCTCAATGGATCCGTATCCGACATCTTCATGGTAGGTCCCGTCTCGGAGCGTGACGCGAACGGTAACAGACAGACCAACATTTACCTTCTGGGACTGCGGGTTCTCGTCGGCATAGTCGACTTGAATCTGCTGTATAGAAGACGACCACCCGTTGAAGCCAAACACTTCGTTCGCAAGGGAGATGACCTTCTCGGCCGTCAGATAGTGGACGCGCTGGCCACCTGGGCCTGCCCGTGCCGAGATGTATTCCGGGCCTAGTTGTCTATCGAGTTTCTGGGAGATCGATGCGATCTCCTTTGCCGTCCATGCTGAAATCTTGGGCTTCGTTTCTTCGAATGGGTTCTCCCACGATTGGTGCTGATCGCCTGGACTTAATTCACGATTGTGTTAATCATCGGCCACCGACACGAACTAGCAGGCAAAAGTGAACTTACGCAGGCATAGCGACGATCTAGCGAGACAAGGCAATCATTTAAGATTGTAAGCTACTGTTCAATCGAAAGTCTCGGGAGAAGGAAAGACGTAGCGCCGGCGTGAATGACTGGTGCTGGGTGAGATCGGGTTCTGATGCTGTTGCCTGCATTCACGCGTCGCGGAGTGGGTGGATAGAGCTGTCACAAACGCCAAGTCACGTGATTCAATATACGACTGGGCCTCCCGTGCTTTGATAACGGGAAGTTTCCGATCAGTGTGTACATACTGATAATGCAACTAAGGAAATCATATCTTGTCGTTTTAGGAAGCTACGTATGTAAAGTTTTAGCGATTTAACGTCAGGAAACGCAGGGCGAAATAGTTCAGCTGCAACACAACGTAGATAGGTAGATAAAATTTGAAGTGGTAATATCAAGTCCAACAACACCAAAGGAAATACTTCAAGTTCTAGAGAAAACAGTACCAGAGACTATGACTATGTTTCCCAGGGCACCCGCCCTGGTTTATAAAATGTGCATTTGTTTTTGTGCCATTTGTTTCTCAACAACCCATCGTCTTGGTCAAAGGCCGCCCAAATCAAATCCCCCGTAAGAGAATGTGGTGCAGAAACTTGTATAATGAGTAACACCACAAGATACAAAACGCCAAACCATCCCTATAGCCGTGAAATGCAACGCTGCAAGTCTATGCTGCTCCTTGATGCCAAAATAATCATCATATGTCGTTATGAATGCTCGTATCCTCGATGCAATGCCAATTTCCTCCGCTTACTATAATGTCATCTTCAAGCTGAGTTGCTTACCAAGGCCCTACACGGACAGGAGAACCATAAGCACCAGACATTAATTGATTCAGGATAGATTCCCGCTCGTTGGGACCAGAAGCCGGATTCATGTTGTGACCCATCCATCCGACATTGTTGGCCATTGCAGAGACAGCAGTCTGGAGACGATTACCAGACTGTTGGTTGTGACGAGTAAGCTTCTCATCCCAACCAGCAGAATGCAGATTAAATCCACCTCCTCGTTTGGCAGCTTCGTTCACTACAAGCTCCCATGCCTTTGAAATGTCCTCATAGGCATTATCCTTGTGATGACGGTAAGCCTGCGGGTTCCAATCAGGGAGTTCGTGAAGTAGGCCGGTTGCGTAGTCGAGGAATTCGAGGGACTTGGTCGGCTGGTTCTCGTTGGGAGGGAGAAATTGAGGTGTGAAGTCGGACAAGGCATCCAAAAGAGCGACGAGGGAGTCCTTGACCCTGTAGTATGTGTATTCCGGGCTGGATTCACCATAAGGGACCGACTCCTTCAACTTCCGACGATAGTCATCCAAAACAGTGATAGCCGAGCTGACGGTGGGACGAGGAGCACCAGAGGTTACTTCTTGGCCGATTTCCGGGTGGCGTTCGCAGATACGTTCCAGCACAGTGCGTAGCTGGGCGGTATCCAGGGTTTCCAGGAGTCGTGGGAGGCTGAGTGGCCTGCCGATAACCTCGTGAGATCGGAATTTTTTCGATGGTCGAGAAAGGGTTCGGGCAGAAATTGCGGGAGAAGTAGATGCCATGGACTCGTCGCCATCCTCGTCAGCCTTTCGCTTTCGGCTCGCCATGTTTTGGAGTGGAGATACTAAATTTGCGTTAACAATGTTCCCTTCTTCGAGGCTTCGATGGGGATGAGGCGGTCGAAAAAGCATGGGAAAAAAATGAGGACTAGAACTCACCAGATCGCTGAGGAGACAAGCGAGGGTTTTCGTGCTGATGGGGGAAAACGGGAGGCTGCGGTGACAGCAGAACGTTCATGATGATCAACAAGGAAGGACGGTAAGGTCAATGCCCAAGCCAATCGAGCCAAACAGCAATACAGCAGCGACAGACAAATGTTGCTCAAGAATGCAGTTCGACAGCAAGTAAGGTCAAGCTCTGATGCAGAAAATTCTCAATTATTTGTGGCTGTCGCCGCCGTGCGTTGGAGGTGGTGCGGGTGGAGTTGTTGCAAATGAGGAGTCGGTAGGTATGGAGTGGTTGGGCTGAAAAGGCTTTGATCACCCTCGCATAAAGCGAGAGATAAATGAAGGAGAAAATGCCGAGGCGGTCAGCTCTGAGCCAGATGGGAGCGCCGTCGCAGCTTATATGAGCGTGGGACTGTGACGCAGGCGGCTAGCAGGTTCGCACAAGCAACAGACGAGAGGAGTTGCGTTGTTGTGGAAGGGAAAGTGCCGGGACACAAGGGCGAAGCATGAGGAGATCATGGTCTCAGGTGCTTAGTCCTGGGGGGCTAAGCGGACGACGACGCTAAGCTTCGCACGTGACGCCAAGCTAGGCGCTTGTTTACCGTTGCACCCCCGATGGCCTTCCAGGTCACTGCCCAGCTGCATCCCCTCCATTTGGTAACCGATGGGTACTCTAGCTGGCACAGGTGTGTTACAGCATTGAAAACACCCATGCGAAACGCATTGTGCATTTTCTTCCAGCACACCGAAAGGGGTAAAAGGTCCATGGAAGCAATCTCGCTGGCGTACGGCCCTGGACCAAACAATCCACACTACCACCTTAATACCAGCACTTAGACTGCCCTCGTTACCGCCAGTTCACCAACATCCGCATGTGACTTCACCCCCCAACAAAGTACCACTAGACCAGTTTGCGATGGTGTACGCCGAGGGGCTACTACCTGCTTCGGGAGTGACGACTCAGTAATCAGACTGGGTGGTGTTCTCAATGGGTGTGGTGAGCTGCGTGCCACCTCATAGCTGCAATACGAGGGTCGTCTTCGCCCAGGATAAAACGACTGTATCGTCATCGTCCAATTTGTGGCATGTTTGTCAAATCCCCGATGCCTTCGAACTTCCCCAGTATCTCTTACGGCAGGGGTTTGCTGCAAGCCGACGCAAATTTGCATCAACACATAGTAAGGCACGTAATAGTATACACTATTAATTTTATGAAGAAAAACTGTGACATGAACAACTGAGTGGCATCAGTTAGAGGCCATCATGGCAGATGCATGGAGACCCGGAGCTGATGAATCTTCTGGGGAGCGGCAAAAGCGGTTGCGTTGCCTGGCTACCCGGTGCCTAGGTGCCTAGTGATCCAGAGCACGGGTACCAAATCCTCCACTTCTCTTTGGTCCAATAATCCAACCGTAAGCGAGGGCCCACATCCCGCCAAGCTCAACTTGCGGGGCTATCAAGCCCCACCCGAGGAAAACGGCTACTTATCTTATCAAGTATGCGAATTGAGGTTGCAGAAAAAAAATCCAAGCCACCGAGACGAGGGCGGCAAGGACAAGGACTCGCCTCAACACCACAGTCTGCCAGAATTAATTGGCCAACAGAATCCTCCCACCCTTCCACAGCACCTTGGCTTGAACGTTTTCCGAGCCATGGCATCTAGCGAGGAGAGGTCCGTCAGCCCGGAGGCCAATGGCGCCGAGACCAAGCCCAAGTCCTCCAGCAAACGCAAGAACACGACCGACGAGATCGAAATCGACCTCGCCGCCCCCGAGCCCCCCTCCAAGCGCGCCAAGCGTGCCCTCAAGAAGGGCAAATCCGCCTCGTCCAAGAAATCCGGCAAGGACGACGACCGCGACCTCCTGGACGGTGAGGATGAGGCCGCCGACGCCGACGGCAAGCCGAAGCGGTCGGAGCACGGGGTCTGGATCGGGAACCTCCCCTTCGCGGTCACGGCGACGATGCTCAAGACCTGGCTGGTCAGCAACTCGGGCGGCGTCATAACCGACGAGTCCATCACCCGGATAAAGATCCCGACGACCAAGACCAGCGGCCGCGACAGGGCGGCCAAGCCGGTGAACAAGGGATTCGCCTTTGTGGACTTCTCGGAGATCGGGCCAAAAGTCTCCGCCATTGCGCTGTCGGAGAACGACCTCGCCGGCCGCAAGCTCCTGATCAAGGACGCAAAGTCCTTCGAGGGCCGCCCCAAGAAGGAGCCGGAGCCGGAGCAGTCCAAGGACGGGTCTCTTCAGCAGAAGGATGCGTTCAAGCAGCACGAGAACGCCAGCAGGAAGGTCTTTGTCGGCAACATGAGCTTCAAGGCTACCGAGGAGGATCTGTACAGAAATTTCGAGAAGTGCGGCGAGATTGAGTTCGTCAAGCTCGCCACGTTTGAGGACACAGGAAAATGCAAGGGATTCGGCTGGGTCAAGTTCAAAGAGCCCGAGGCCGCCGCCTGGGCCGTCAAGGGCTTCGTCAAGATCAAGGAGAAGGTGGAGACGGAGGCAGATTTCAATGGCGAGGAGGACGGTGATGACGACAAGCCACAAGAAAAGCAGTTCAAGACGAGAAAGTGGTGGGTGAACAGGATGTTCGGGCGGGAGCTGAAACTGGAACTGGCAGAAGATGACCAATTACGGTACAAGAAGCGATTCGGCAAAGATGCAAAGAAGGATGACGGGAATGAGGGGCGTGGAAAGGGCAGGCAGCCTCGCTCAAGAGGCCAGGATGCGAATGACGGACCAACGGAAAGCAAGGAGCTGCGGGCTGCTGATGATATCCAAGTTGCCAAGTTGACTGGAGCGGTGGTGAAGTCGACGGGAACAAAGGTCACGTTCGATTAGTATCATGTTTCTATTTCTACGGTATTCTGGGTGCAAAAATATATCCGTCATTTTTCATTGCTCATTGGATTGGTCTACTTACAGAAGCTTTGCATCGAAATGGCGAGGTGAGAACAGCATCGGTTAGCGCGAGTCCCCTCACCCCGCACAGTGATCTACCATATAAAGTCATTCATTCCAGACATGTTGTTCAGAAAACATCACACTCAATATCTTCTGTAGCAAGAAAGATACACATCCCGCAGTCACAATGTACGAGGCTGTAATTGTCTTTACGCTGGATACCATCTGTCCATGGTATGTACACCCCATCCTAGCTCCAGAGACACTCGATATTAACCCAACAACAGGACATTTCTGGCCAAGAAGAGGTGAGAATTACCCACGTCATCAATAACTTTCCCACTCAAGAAATGTAACCAAAGACTCTAAATCGGCCTCCAAACCAGGCTCGATGAAGCCCTCGCCAAGGTCCGGGCGTCCCAAGCTTCCCCGGACGTCACATTCACCGTCCGCTACGACTCATTCCAGCTCCATCCGGATCTCCCACAGACGGTGGACAAGCAAGAGTGGTACCTCCGCAACATGCACATGGACAACCCGGACGCCCAGAAGCTCTACCAGGCGCACATGTCCGATCAGTTCGAGCCCCTGGGCATCACCTTAAACTTCGACGGCACCATTGGGAACACCTTCCAGGCCCACCGCGTCATCCAGTATTTCCAGGAGGACAAGGGCCCGGAGACTGCGAGCCGCCTCGTCGACGGCCTCTTCATGAGGTATCTCACGAAGGCGAAGAATCCAACTAGCGAGGAGACGCTGGTGGAGAGCTGTGTGGAGGCCGGCATCGACAGGGAGGAGGCGACGGCGGTGGTGCGCGACCAATCCAAGAAGGAGGCCGAGGTGAAGCGGGGCATGCGAGATGTCGCAATGGATACCGACTCGGTCCCCAGCGTCAGGTTCGAGGGCAGGCGGAGAGACATCACGATACGGGGGGCGAAGGAGGTGCCTGATTACATCAAGACTCTGGAGACGATCATCAAGGACAGTTCTTAAGGCAGCAAAGTTTTTCAAGACAAAGGACAGTATTTCAATTCCAGGAGTGTCGGGGCTGTAGTTGTGTGTCTGGCTATTCCAGAATTTCTCACACAAGTAAACGTTGGATACATGAAGAGAAGGAGTAATAGGAATAATAAAAACAAATGAAAGAAACGTTAAAGATCGTAAGAACGACGCTGTCGTAATCATCATCATTACAGTAAAAAGTTCATAATCGTAAAAAGTCAGCGACCCTGGTAGCCCCCAGAAATAAAAACCGATTCCCTTTCGTTATTATTATACCTTTATGCCCTCGCGAAAAGCAGAGGTACCATAAGGCTCTGGGATTCTGGGCCCCTGTGGTCCTCGATGACTTCCATGCCACAGCCGGCAAACTCCCGGCTGGCCATGAACCTGCAGGCCGCGACGGCCTCGGCCTGCTGGTTGGTGGATTTCCTCCCGCTGTAGAATTCGCGGCTGAGCTTCGTCAAAACCGCTTGTTTGGCCTTGCGCAGGGCGCTTATACGCGCGCCGGCATCCTCCGCGAAGTGGCGGTGGGCCTCTTCTTGTTCAAAGTTGCGCTGCACAGTAGAGATACCCTCGTCGGGAGGAGTTGAGCGACGGCCGGAGGGATCATATATTGCCGGTTGTAGTAGGACCGGCTTAGGGTCGTTGTTTAGAATTGGTCCGATGATGGGGATATGTACAGTAGAGGCGCGGCTGCCCTCGTACTCAAAAGATCGGTTCAAGGTAGGGGGGGATTCCTTGCGCTTGTGGCGCCGGAAGGAGAGTGAAGATTTGATGGAAAGTGGGAGCGGGAAGGATGATGACTGCTCAGAAACCTCGGAGGATGTATAGTCGTCGCTGTCATATTTAGGATGCTTTCTGCGTCGTCGCGAGTGCTTCCTAGTGAATTTCGTTGTGAAGCCAAGGCTTGACTCTGATCCATATGTTGATTCTTGAGGCAAGCCGTAAAGGATATCTCGCTCCTCGTCGCATAGATGGAAAGCGTTAAATTCCTCGTCGAGGAGGTCTCTGCTAGCAGCCTCCGCGGCAGCACTTGGGAAGGAAAGATCTTCAAAGCTGTCGCTGCTGACGAAGCTGGCTTCTGATGATGCTGCGGTGGAGCTGCTTCGAGACCATAATGAATCCTTGTCTAGGGGAGACAGAGCCTCGTCCCAGTTGCCCTTGTTCGTGAGCACGACATTTGCAAAGTCGAACTCCTTGACGGTATCCCGGTGTGATCTGATCAATGCTTTGAGCTGCGGCGCATTCATGGCCGCATTGCGGATTTGTAGGAAGCGAAGCTTTGGGAAGTGGATCTGGGATCGCATTGGGATCTCTGGCAGAGGTGACATGGGGGATGTTACCTCGTGGAATAGTTTCCTAGAGACCTTGCCCGGCGCAAAGAGAGGGTCGTCTGAGAGGGCCACTGGGCAGGGTCCTTTGCTGCCTCGCCATGTGAAGCTCAGCTTCTCAAGCGTTGGCGCAAATGAGCGAAGGTAGTCATCAATGACCTTCAGGTGATCAAGTCCGGGGGATGCACCATAAAAGTCCCAGGCTTCAACTGAAATGTACAACTTCTTGATCTGCTTCCATCTGCGCGAAGAGGATGGAACAGACCCATAGCCTGGGACATGGCGCAAGTAGTTGAATGCGCCAGGGTGGACTGAAGACAGGGACAGCTTAGAGAGCTTGGTCAAGGGTGCGCGCTCGAGAGAGATGCGTAAACTGATGAGAGCGTAGTCAACAATGTTCCTCCTGTACCTCTCTTGAGGTTCTTGGCCGGGACACCAGACAGTCAGATGTCTCATGTTGGGCATCGACTTCATGGCATTGATAAAGCTGGGAACATTGGTGGCGGAGTGGAACAAGGGAGGATATTGCTGCGTCAAGATCTCGCCCAGCTGTGAGTTGCCGTATTTTGGGCGGACCAAGACCTGGCTGAGACTCGTAAGTGGCGTATATAGAAATGAGATCTCATTGCCAGTCTCGGGGTGAATCAGTGGCGGGAGAAAGGTATCCTCGGAGTGAGGAAAGTAAAAGGTGAGATGTTCGATGTGCTGGCCGATGCGGGCAAGTGCTGTAAGTCTGCATTGTTTGGTGAAGGTACTGGGGGTGAAGGTCACATGAACGCGAGTAAAGAGACGCTTTGTGACCTGGCTACAGCAGGAAGATGAGGTTGTTCGGAGGGCACAGATATCTGCAGTCGACAGATATGGGAAGAGGTGGTCCTTGAAGCGATCGCTTCTCAGAAGGGTGGAAAACAGCTGCTCGGTGGAGGACGCCATGACTCTGGCATTGCTTGGGAACCAGCTATCTGAATCAATTTCCAAGATGCGCAAAGGCAAAGGGTCCAAACACTAGCTGAGGGTACTGGGCTTTCAATAGGTAGTTTGTCTTGGGTTCTTCTTTGGGGGTCTGGAGTGTGGCGGTGCGTTGCGGTGGAGGGCAGCAACGATAGGTTGGAACAGGAGAGAAACAGATGTCTCGGGGCTCATATAACAATTGAAAAGAACAATTGAAGAAAGAAAGCAGAGTTGGGACCAGCCAGTTGAATTCACAAATATCATACACTTTACTGTGGAGGAAAACAAAAGCAGGAGAGAGCACGAAAGGATGGCCGCATCGAAGGGCCGGATTCTTAAGTTTAAGAGCGATCAATAGCAGTCCCACAACAAAATCAGCGTCGAGGCGAAGGGTCAGAACCCTGTCGAGCCCCCTCTCGGTTGCTCGAGAGAGGAGGAAGCAAAAGATCCGGTGCATCGCGAAACCCGCCCAAGCCAGAATCGACTGGCCAGTGAGTCACGACTAGCCAGACGGTATGCATCTGGACGGGGGGGATGGGACCAAGTAGTGGTGGTGCCACGGGAGGTTTCGCGACCGTGTTGTCATCGCGCACGCCACGCTGGTTGGCCGGCAAAGGCCTCAATGCCCCGCATGCAGCATGGCCCCCCCCGTGCCGGCTGCAGAGTGTCTCATGGTCGCAGCAGCGCTGGCCAGTCGGATGGGCATCGGCTTGAAGCTTGCAGATGGTGGGGAAGATGGACCAGGATGGCCGGGCCCCGAAAAGGCAAATGGCTGGGACGAAGGAGCGACCCTTTCGGGCCACTTGCCAACAACGCGGGATGTGGGTCCGCTCCAGAAAAGAGGCTCTGGCCAATCACACGCCCGCCGCCGCGCTGCTTGCGACGCGACAGCCGTTTGATCGACGCGCATCGCTTCGCGGCTGGCGCCTGTAGGCGCGATGTGTGTAAGTCGGATTTCACAACATTGGCAGCAGTATATAAGGCGCCGCCGGGGGCGTTGCTGCGCGACGTCTGGGGCGTGATATTCGCGCAGTTGCCGCTCCAAAAACAGGCCGGCCTCGAATTTTCGGATCTTCTCTAGGGGAATTCGGTGCAAATCATCTGTGCAGCCCTATTCCACGCGCTGAAAGGAGCCAGGCCTATGCACGACCGCGCTGGCAGCCTCCGACTCGCCAGTCGGTGTCCTATCCACGATCAAAGCACACCGGACCGGACCCACCCCACCCGCCTCAAACATGGAGAGCATTTGGCCATGAGCACCGCCCGTGGCATATAGCATGGCATGATCCCCAGGGCCCTGGATGCCACTGTCTGCCGCTGCACCTCCACCACCAGACAGCCTTGGTTTCGTGACTGGTGCTGCATCCTCCAAATTCCAGCTGCCAGCAAAGCCCGCAGCCCCTGCTTCGCCCGTCCCGAAACCTGTGTGATACACCCTTCAGAGCCCTCTATGGCGTATTCGGCAACTGGAACACCCTGTTGGTAAGTCGCTGCAGCCACAGCGGTCCCCATTGACGATTTGTTGTCCTGCGGATCTGCGCCAGTCCGCTGGAACACAGACCGTCATGCAAGCCAGGTATGATGAATCAATCCAACGTCGACCGGCCTACTTGAAGAAAATTCTTTCAACCGACCAGGCTGGCCCTGAACTACATCCTCCAGGGTCCAATAACTATCCCCAATTCCGCCTCGTAGCATCTCAGGGCCCGGGCATGTTCACCAAGTTTAGTTCAATGCCATACCATGCACCCACTGACGTGGCTCATTGGGGCCGCCTGTGCGTTGCGTTCGTTTGTCACACTCCAGGGATCATAATTTTTTGTTTCCCCTGTCGCTGTGGCTGTTACACCAGGTCTTCTTAAGAACAAACGAGATGTCAGACCCCGACCGATAGTCTCGAATGCTAGTGCTGGTATTTTTGTCTACCCTGAAAATGCCTAGATCACTATTTTGATGACTCGTATTCCCTGTCCTGCCGTTCCGATGATTTTTTTCTTTTACACCGAATATTGATCCTGGAAAATGTGCGTGCTAAACACTATTGATCCCTTGTATTTGATTTTTTTTCCGCACAAACTATGACTCCAACGTCTAACCCTTGAAGACCGATTATTGCGATAGGTATGGGTTACCATGTAAACTCACGGTAAACGTGTGTTGAATGATGCCTCTGCAGACGCTCCCATGACGCGCTATTTCTTACCTTCCGTGTGGTAATTCTATAATGATAATTTGCCAACCGAGCAACATTCCCATAAAACTTTTGAAACACCCCTGCCCGATGCGATCTCCATAGAACTTGACATATACACAATTGCATTAGAGTTCAGCCGGTGGCTCAAACCTAGTTGTTCCTCCCACGGCCTCCTCTGCCCCTACCCCTTCCTCTGCCACCACCTCCACGCCCTCCTGCACGTGACCCACCTCTGCTCGATCCAGATTGATTGGATGGGCGGCCGCTGTCTCCGTTCCAGGATGTTGGCATTTGGTGCGGTGGGGGTGGTGGCACGCGATGATAGTCCCGACCAGGGGGACGGGGCGGCAATGACGAAGGTGGCCTCGCTGGTAAAGAATCAATGGACGACGCACCGGGGGGTGGTCGAGCATCATAAGATGACCGCAGATGTGGTGGAGGGTCTGAAGGTGGAGGTCCAGGAGGAAGGGGAGGTTGCCAAGAAGCACCAGCGGGCGCATTCCGTGGCATTTGGATGTTGCTCGCCATTCGAATGGCGCCCACATTGCCACGTTTGGCTGGGGCCCTCCTACCCAGAAACTCGACCTCTGAGTCGTCGCTCTCTGAATAATGAACTGCAGCACCCCTAGCTGCACGGCCTCTGATTTTTACCTGTGATTTCTGCGCGACACTGGGCCCATTAGCCAAACGGGTAGCTTCTCCTTCGACGGTCAGTGAATTGCAGCCCGAATCCACATATCTGCTTCGATTTTTGAGGGACCACGTGGGGTTTGATGCTGAACCTCGCCTATCCGGACAGTCGGACGAGTAGTGCAAGGTATCACCACATAGTCCGCATGATGGCTGGAGCTCCTGCACGACCTGGATGGGTGAGTCATCAGGTGAAAATGACCGCCAAACCTCTGTGCATTCGTCCTCGAGGTGATCGTCGGCGCCACAAAAGCTGCAGGCCAGTCCCTCCTCCTTGGTCAGAGCTAGCTTCTCTTGACAATCAGCGGCACCATGACCAAGTTGACGACATTTCCCGCACCTGGCCCTGGTAGGGCAGCTAAAGTTCCAGTGCCCGTCGCTGCTGCAGAACTTACAAGCCGCCTTGGAACAATTGGTTGAGAGGTGTCCCGCGCCCCCACACCGAAGACACATGATGGCGGATTCGCTCGCGCTGGGGAAGTATTTTCGAATCATGGCCATTTCTTCCTCTGCAACTACAGGGTGGCTTGTGTCGTCCGAGGTCCTTTCATCAACAAGGTCTTGTTGGGAAGCAACGGAATTTCCGTTGGGCTCTAGGGTACTTGGCGCAGTAAGGGGCGTTCCAACCGGTGGCTCATATTCCTCCTCGCTCTCCGAGACAAGGTCTATGGTCTCCTTTGCCGCTGGGGGTTGCTGGTTCCTGGAATTACCGACCTTCGGAGGCGGTCTAGACTGTTGAGGAAGGTTCATCGACCTTACTTGGCTCTCAAGCGCTCCGGATTCTTCAAATTGTTTCGCAGCCTGCTTAGCGTTCCGCTTCTTCTTCGTCTTCAAGCCTGAATTCATATCAAGGTAGTGCATGTAGGCTGACTGGATGAGGGTCGGCGTCAGCAAAGGTCCATATGTGGCATTGTGAACGCAAAAGACGGCCACCCAGTCTTTGAAACGAACGTCCCATGAACCCTCCCTCTTATTAGAAAAAACAGGAAGCGCGAAGGTGGCGTCCTTTTCGTTGTATACCGGTCCATTTGGAGGAATGAATGCCCCAGATTGCTTTGCTTTCGCAGTGCTTTGCACATTGTCCATGGTTACCTCTGACGCTGGAGGTTGGTCTAGTTGGTCCTTCGTTTCGTCAATCTCTCCCTCCTCGGACGCGCCAGAGCCCGTTGATCCAGTGCGGGTGGACGATCTAGTTTTTGCACGTTTGTGCGGGTGAGAAATGCCTTCTGCCACGCGTGAACCATTCGAGGCGCGGCGCGACCTCTTTTGACCCTGGGGGGCCTCATCTTCACTTGAGGAGAGGTTGATAACGTCACCAAGGAGGCCGTCGTCTTCTAAACTCATAGTGAAAATGGCCCAGCCAGTGGTGGCAACCTGTGCAGCCCGTTTGCACGTGTCAAGGGGATATATGTATTGTGTGAAAGGGGAGATACTTGGGTAGAGGGGAGTTCCAATTCCTTAGGGCGCCGGAAAGGTAAGCGAGTCCCTCAGGTACCTACTGTGCAATTCGCAGGAGCAACCCAGCTGGTTTGAGTACAACGGCCAGTACTGAAGCGCCCTAGGTTTGAGTTGTTCAGCCTGTTGACACCGTCCAAGGAGCTCTCCTTGGTAAATGCTCAGTCCTGAAAGACTTGTCGCTCTGGTGGAAAAGCGTTGTTCCGCCTGTGATTGGTATCCACCCACCGGTGGTGCACCGACACACCTGTCCTCTCGCCTTGACCACAGGTCTGGGTGCGCTGAGCTTTGAGGAATCAGGAATAGCTTGGGAAAATCGAACTTGGCAAATCAGCAGGGCCTGCAATTTATGTTCCCCAGGTCGTGTTGCGTCAGGCCTGCATGCAGATTCGGCCTAAGGCTCACGAAACGTTTCCTGATACCTGAGTGCCGATAAAAAAATCACTGGTCCAATCAACGTGCTTAGGTAGTGTATTACCGAACATTAACCACCCTTGTCAACCTCCGAAAGTCTTGCCAGAACATTCCGCAGTGACAAGCAGACACACCGATACTCGTGACCGTTGTAACTGTCTGCTTGGGCTGCGCTGGGGAGGCAAGTGACGGACATAAAGCACGGCCACCCAAGCTCTGTTCACACAAGTCAAGGACCTCGGTTTCTTATCAATCATACTAAACGTAATAATAAGAAAACGGATAGTTGTTATTCGATTTAGCTCGATATTATATTTATTAGTGATCAATTCTTTTGATATTGCGTTGATCATGTGTTGAAGTCAACGCTGGAGGTTCTGGGTGTGCCATGATTTATGTTAGTCGCTTGGGAGGTACTTGTCATGCCCGTGATTTGCTCATATAACTTGGCCGGGCTACCAGGCCGCTATGCTAGGGCGGACTTCTAGATCCATCTCCGGAATACGGTCGGTCGTGCTCTGGGCTTGAGGGGCCCCATCCCTGGCTCAGGCAGAGCGGCCTGACACCTGCCGACCCCTTAAAAGACCCAGATGGCCAGCGAGATCGCGAAGTAAACGAAGCTGCGCAGAATCACACGATCTCACGAACCAGCCCATCTGGAATCATGAGCAGTGCAGGGTAGCACGGGCGATGCTGGCCTCGATCAGCTGTCGCATCGAATCGGCTGTCACTCCAGACACATATTACAGCGGGCGGGGCAACTGCCTGCTTTAGTGAAGCTCCCCCAAGTTCCTCGCAACCTACAGGCAATAAAAGCCCCCGATGCAGGGCTGCAGCGTGGGTCCCTGTAGCCACCTACCGATTGGAACCCCTTCCTGCCTGTCCGTCGAGCGACATTGGAGCCTCTCATCAATAGGAGCAGTCCCACGCGTCACCTGTCATTTTCACACTTGCCATCATCACCAGCATCATATTCCCCCTCATCCGACCCCCGACTGGATGAGCCGCCTGCTCTAATTCCTTCCTCCCTGTATTAATCCGTTTATCTATTTCTAGCCTCTCGTTTATCCATTTTGCAATTTCCAGCTGGCCTTGACATCATCAGGGGCACACCATTACTTATCCTCCCTCCACTTCCAGAACCATATTCTACACCACCCGGACTCAAACTTCACGCTGCCGCCGCATCTCAGGTCGCCGCCCAAGTTGCACCCGTCATCCAAGGCTCTTCATTGACCGTTCGTTCGCCTCCCGTAGTGCTTCTCTTGGCTTGTCCCTCTTTCCCACAGCTGCCGCCGTCCGTGGAAGAGTTCTAGATCCGCCTGCTCCTTTATATGAGCATCCCCAAACAACCCGAAGCCATCCCCGACAATACCGCCAAGCTGTCTTCCCCAATCCTCCTCCAGCGCACCGTCACCTTTGACGCGGGCAACGACCCCCCGCGGAACGGAAGCGCCTATCTCAACATGTCCGATCGAAACACCGGGGCTCGAAGGAGGAGATCTAGCAGCATCCTCCAGGTCTATCATGAACCCCCCGAGACCCTCGAGCAGATCAGCGATCAGGCATCTCTGCCGAACTTGAACGCAAACTGGACTAATGCCAAAGGTAAACCTCCTTAGCCCCTTCCCCTCCCCTATAGTCGTCCGCTTCAAGGCCAAAGTGGCTGACATTATACTCTCTACCTGCGTCGTGTAGGAGCATGGACGATTCACCTTGTCCTTATAGCTGGGCTTAAAATATTCTACGACGTCATCCCCGGTGTCTCACAGGAGACTTCATGGACGCTGACCAACATCACGTATATGTTTGGCTCATACATCATGTTCCATCACGTTCGCGGAGTCCCCTTCGACTTCAACAGTGGTGCCTTCGACAATCTCAACATGTGGGAGCAGATCGACAACGGAGCTCAATACACCCCGACCAAGAAGTTCCTGCTCAGTGTGCCCATCATGTTGTTTCTACTGAGCACGCACTATACCCACTACGATTTGGCATACTTCTCTATCAATTTCCTTGCAGTACTTGGGGTCGTTATCCCTAAACTTCCTTTTGTACGTTGGCTCAAACTATCGTCGCTTGTACCCACACCCTCCAACCCCCCGAATTTGTTTGTTTGTTTATTTATTTATCGCCCATCCACCTTAAATGATATTCCGTTTTCAGGAGCTGACTTTTCAATTTCTCCAGAGTCATCGGATGCGCTTCGGGCTTTTCTCAGGAGTTCCCGAAGAATAGGTCATGGATGGATGTGGGCGTTTGGGTAAGATACCTGGCGGGGCGTACCGACTTCGAAACTGAAAAAGAGAGGAACACAGGACGCAGAATAAGATGGCAAAAGATTGTTGATTTAATCATATCATAGCGAACATTTCCGCAGCGCAGGGCTCTCGGTACCCTTGTACTATATTCACACCCAGCGCTAAGGAGATGAATTGGATTTTCTCTCTCTGCACTACCTATCTCTCTTCAGGCACGCATAAGTGATGTTCGCGACTCCCAAGGACCTCGGTGGCTGGGGGATTTAGTTTGGCCATGGAGCCCCTTGACCCGCAAGATGGTTTGCTCTCGCAGATATAAAGGTTTACCAAAGCTTGTTTTTCATCCTAAACGACGATCCAACTGGGCTATTGGCTGGAGGAGGATGCTAATGCGGCCTCACTAGCTCCGACACGCTCTATTTATCGCGATGTTGAGCAATTGAGTTTGGCCAGTTGATCTCCCTCACTTGCCAGGCAACGCGCTGTCCCGTTAGCAAGACGCGATGGCTCGAGTGATTTCGTGAGAGTTTCTCTCTATAAAATGAGGCACTCCGTCAACAGGTTGAGAAGTCAAATCGAGTCTATCTACACTCGTTTTCCCTACCGGTGCTGAGTTGCCAAAGCTACTCTGTTCGTTATAACTCAATTTGATAAACCGCTCGCCCACCATGCGTCCCAATAGCATCTTGGCTGCCCTGGCCATCTTCAATGGCCTGGCCTCTGCAAGCGCTATCATTTACCCCCAGCATGATGAAAAGAACATCTTCAAGCATGATGGCCACAAGGACCACCACAAGTACCACAAGGACTTCTTCAAGAACCACCATGGGGACAGGCACCACAAGGACAAGCACCATAAGGACGACAATGTCAAGGTTGACCAGTTCAAGTTCACGGATGACTTCAAGTACCCCCACAAGCATGAACATGGCAAGCACCATAGGCCCGAGAAGCATCACCACCACCACTGCGAGGGTGGCCACTGTGACAGGAAGTCCTGCCACGAGTGCAACGGCGAGTGGGCCAAGCCCGGATGCCAGCACTGCAAGCCTGAGAGGCCTTGCCATGGCCCTGACTGTCAGCGTCACCACAAGTACGTGGACGTCGAGGTCATTAAGGAGAAGTCCAAGGATAGGCCTCACCACCACCACCACGTTGAGGTAATCAAGGAGCTGAAGGAGAAGGAGAAGGAGGTTCTTATCAAGGAGCTCATTGAGAAGGAGAAGGAGAAGGAGATCATCAAGGAGAAGGAGAAGGAAATCATCAAGGACAAGGAGAAGGACGTTATCGTTGACAAGGAGAAGGACTGTATCAAGGACAAGGAGAAGGACGTCATCGTGGAGAAGGAGAAGCCGTGCACAAAGGTTGAAACCAAGGTTGAGACCAAGCCTTGCACCACCGTCGTCCAGAAGACCACTGCTGCTCCAATTGTTCCTTGCACCACCGTCGTCGCTCCATCTGCTCCTTGCACCACCGTCGTCGCTCCATCTCCCCCTTGCACCTCTCTGCCCGCTCCCCCGGCAAAGAACATCACTCCTCCAATTCCTTGCCCCAAGCCTCCGGCTCCTTGCCCGGCTCCCGTTCCTGTACCCCAGCCTCAGCCTCAGCCTCAACCTCAACCCCAACCTCAGCAGCCTTGCCCTCAACCTCAGCAGCCTTGTCCTCAGCCTCAGCAGCCCAAGCCCTCTCCCCCCTGCCCCTCTCTACCTGCTCCCCCGGTCAAGAACAACACTCCTCCAGTTCCTTGCCCTCAGCCTCCTTGCCCGGTTCCTGTTCCTGTACCCCAGCCTCAACCTCAACCTCAGCAGCCTTGCCCGCAGCTCCCGCAGCTCCCGCAGCAGCCCCAGCAGCCCCAGCAGCCTCAACAGCCTCAACAGCCACAGCAACCCCAGCAGCCTCAGCAACCTCAACAACCTCAGCAGCCTCAGCAACCACAGCAGCCTCAGCAACCACAGCAGCCTCAGCAACCTCAACAGCCACAGCAGCCTCAGCAGCCTCAGCAACCTCAACAGCCTCAGCAACCTCAACAACCTCAACAGCCACAGCAGCCTCAGCAGCCTCAGCAACCTCAACAGCCTCAGCAACCTCAACAGCCTCAGCAGCCTCAGCAACCACAGCAACCACAGCAGCCTCAGCAGCCCCAGCAGCCCCAGCAACCTCAACAACCTCAGCAGCCCCAGCAGCCCAAGCCTTCTTCGGGGCCTGCTCCTGCTCCTGCTCCTGCTCCTTGCCCTCAACCTCAACCTCAGCCCCAGCCCCAGCCCCAGCCTCAGCAACCTCAGCAACCTCAGCAACCTCAGCAGCCTCAGCAACCTCAGCAGCCCCAGCAACCTCAGCAGCCTCAGCAACCCCAGCAGCCACAACAACCTCAGCAGCCTGCGCCTGCGCCTGCACCAGCTCCTGCACCCGCTCCTGCACCGGCACCGGCACCCCCATCCCCCATCCGTCCACCACCAGCTCCTCCTTCCAACAACATCAGCGGCCCCAGCAGCCCAGTTCCGCTCCCCGTTGCTGCTGGTGCGAAGAGCGCCATCTCCCTTGGCACTCTTGCAATCAGTCTTGTTCTGAGCTACTTCCTGTTCTAAGGTGGTCGAGAACCAGAAACACCCAGAGATTGGACCTCATGGCAATCTCGATAGGCGTCGTCCTGCTATTCCGTTCCCGGGACGACATGTCAAGCAAAAGGAGCGAGAGAAAAGCGTAGGAGGTGACAAAATATGTGTTGATTTGTAATTAAAAATAGGAAGGGAATCTCTGGAGACCCAACTTCGCATAATTGACTAATTGATTGCAACTACGAGTTCCTGTCCCAAGTGTTTGATTGGTGGCGCTCATATTTGCCTTTAGGGGTAGAATAGAGAGTGAATACTGTAGCCACTACGTACCTTCTCTATCGACCGCCAGTGTTACCTCTAAAGGGAATTGACTCTGAATATAAGACTCGCGGCTGGAAAACTGACTCGAAGCTGCATAGTGGACAGCCATGAAGTCGTTCAATATCCAGTTCTACATGGGGGTGTGCGAGAGACTTCAGCTTACGAATACGACACCAACCACCCGCTTTCAATATGAGACTTGATTTTGAATTGTTTTCTCTATTGTTTTTTTATAGTTTGTCTAGTGAGGGGATGTGAAAGTCTAGTCCGCTCTATATAAAACCGTACTTGAGCCTGAAGAGCCAAGAAAAAGAAATAAATAAAAAGAAATAAAAAGAAAAGAAGAAGAAATGGAAAAACAGGCTATCGCTCTTGCTGATCCGGGAAAAGGAAAATTAACACTGCTAACTCCGAAGATTGGGGCAGAGACAAAAGTGTCCAAGCCCTTTATTGTTGCGCTACTGGATAAAATGAAACCCCTGCAACTTGGGGGTACGCTTTTTGAGTATATGTATGGATTCAATGAAGGCCGTTCAATGACTGGGTATTTAAGGAGATGAGAAAATAAGGAAATGTGCCTTTTCTACTGGTTATGTTAGTACTTTGTTTTCTTGGGATCGGAATAAAGGACTTGCTCACCTATAAGACAACTATGGTCTGGAGGAAGCCATAGTATGGGGAAGCTCCCCTTTAGTAGGAGACGTTGTCGCCGACCTTGCGCTCGGCGTTTCTTCGCTCGCGGCGGCCGGCGCAGCAGGTGAAGAGCATGAGGATGAAGGCGATGACCGAGGCGATGGCGACGGCGAGGGAGAGGTAGTAGGTGACGCCGTACTTTGAGGAGCCGACCTCGGCGTCCTTGATGGCCTTCTCGAGGCTCTTGAACATGACGGCGTCGATGATAAGGGCGCAGACGTTGACGCCGGCGGCGAGCAGGCTGACGAGCGTGGCCATGATGGAGACGCAGGTGCCCTCGGGGAGGCTCAGGAGGAAGGCGATGAAGGTGACGCCGGAGCCGATAGGGTGCATGATGAGGGCGACGCTCAGGGCCTTGAGGCCCGTCTCGGTCTCCCAGCTCCAGCTGTTGGTGGGCTGGGCGATGGTCTTCATGATGTCGGCGGCGTCATAGCCGATCTTGGCCTTGGTGCATTGGAAGCTGGAGGAAAGAGACGAGGTCAGTTTACTGGATCGTTCAAGTTGCCGTCGGGTATGAATAGACTTACACGCTGTCGACCTCCCAGCAGTATCCAAACACACCGAACCAGGCATTGTTGCCCGTCGTCAGGCTGAGGGTGGTGAATGAGAGAGACTTCTGGTTCGCCACGGGTGCTGAGATGTTGATGACGATGGTGAGGATCAGGGCCGCCATAAGGATGAACGACCCGATGAAGTGTACTGCGCTTCCGAAGCTCATTGTGACTGATGTTGCTGTAGACTGGTTGGTGTGTTTGTTCCTTTAGTTCCTGTGTTTCTCGAAGCTACTTTGGATGTAGGCTGGGTTTGTATACAAGTGATGGTAGAGGTATGCAGGTATATATAAAGTCGCACAGTTGTCGGGTGTGGTATAAATAAACGCGAAGGAGAGCCGATGACGACGATCTGTCTCCCTGTAGAATGTCTTGCAAGGTCCGATGCAAGGAATGTGCTATGCTTGTCTACTGAGCCAACGTTCGTCTCGAATGTATTACTACTATATACTAGGGAGGACGGTCTGAGACTTTATTTATAGAGAACAGGAGGATCTTTGGCTGGGGTCGATCTGGCCAAGGCTTGCGCACACGGCACGATCGACCCTTGTCGCATCCCCGGCAGCTAAAAATTGTCGGCCCCAAGCTGAGCCTCCCCTGCCCGTCTGCAGCGTCATGCAGCCGGCACTTGGAGAGGTGTCAACGGCCTGTGTGTGGCTGCAGAGAGTCAGAATGCCGTGATGACACGGGCGTTCCGACGAGCAACGAGCAACGCACGCCGGCCACTGTGTCAACGCTGTCTTGGAGCCAGTCCGGCACTGACGCAGATACTGTGTACGAAAGACACGCAATCACGGCCCGAAGCCGAGTCGTGAAAAAAAGAAAATAGAAGAAATTAGGGCCATTAATCGAGCGTCGTCGTCACTCCGCCCTCCGACTGTGGCTGGACCGCTGAGCCAACGACCAACTAAGCTCACCATCTCTCAGCCCTGGCGAGGCGTCGAAAGCACTAAATCGGGGCATTCGTCCATCGGCGACCCCTAATCCAACAATGGTTTGGCTATTGTTCCGTTCCAGACAGATACGGCATCAGACGCGGATTACTGCATCGGACCTGGATAGACACACATAATACAGGCTCAATTGCTAACATGACAACCTCTCGGGTTGAAGTTCGGAGGTATCGCATGAGCCACATGAAGCATGTTGCCCCTGGTTCTGCACGAAAATAGAAGCACCAATCAATCCATCTCCCGTCTGTGGGGAGCCATGACACACGCCAATAAAGCTACTTGTGTGGATCTTTCGTGCTGAGAACTTACGTTGGAGTCGAGATCTTCACGTAGACAGGTGAAACCATGAACCGATTGTTCCCACTGCTGGGATGAATCCCCGACTGTATTACATGTCGCATTACTCTGTACCATCGCGACCGACGTCGATCAACATCACCGCCCCGCAGGTCAGTTCATTGATTGTTCCGAGTCATGCCCTGGCCTTAATCTCCGTGCGAATTGATCCGTCTACTACTAAGTCGGACGGTGGACGAGGCCTGTGTGAACCCAGATGTGTTCCAGGTTATGTCGCGCCGTCCCTTCCAAGTACGGAACGGCCAAAAAGATACCCGGGTAGCTAAGTATTGACTTTTATTATTGATTTTTATTCAATAATTGTTGATTCTGGGAACCCTGGATGCTGGTCCAACAAGCAAACAGACCCCACCTCCTAATTGCTCATTCGTATGAACATGACGAGCCTCTATGCGGCGCTGGTCGCTCGACGCGTGGCACAGGCTGAGGTGAGGTAGAACGTGATGAGCAAGAATGGTCAAGAATTGGCATCAGATCCCTGTGAGTCCCCTGTGGGGTGCCCCCAAATTCCATATTGATGCCACGCGTACCCCAGGTCTGCTCATTCTCAATTTCTCCAGTGGTTGAAGAGTCGTGTGATCCCACCCACTGGAATTCTAATCTTATGGCGTTCCGACCTGATCACGGCTGTATTTCCCAACTAGACTCGCTGCTTATTTCGAGCTCGAGTAGGTAGGCGTAGGTTACTGGACTTTTGTCTGATTAACGGTCCCTCATGTATCAAGGTGGGCAGACTGATGGGTAGTTGGGAGGCTCCGAGGTCCACCGGGACTTTCGTTGCCCTTGTCAGGTGTATTTCCAGGATGCGATGATGACCGTGTGGCCCGTCTCGTCCTGCCAGATAATTTCGCTTTCAACTGCCTCTGTGCGTCCATTTCCTCCACGGTATGTTGAATTTTGCCCGGGGCCCATTTATTCATTGTGCGGCGGGACGTGATTTTCGGGATGGGGGTCTGAGTGTCAGCATCGCCATCCCATCTTGACAATCCCGCCTTTGCTACATTGTTGGGGAGGGACTGCGCCAGAGTGCTGGACATGAATGTCTCCCCCTGGGCCAGGGTTTTCGGCCACGACTGGTGCAGCTGCGTGTTCGCAAAGGTCCCGGCGTGGTTGTAGTCGCGTTCGGCGTAGATGTTTATCTGGAAGGTCCTCCGTTCCTCGTTGGTTGCGGTTTGGTTGGCACCGCCTCTGCTCGCATTGATTGCTGGTTTTGTTCCGTCGAGACGCCTGGGCTGAGCCAGGTCAGAGAACGAGAGATCGGGGCTGTCTCCTTGTTCCAAAGTGTACGTCATCGGGCTTGCTGCGAGGAGTTTACTGGCCGTCTCGGGGGATTTCGCGACAGATATGAAGTTGGCGTGGTAGTCCTACCGTCCACGAGATCTCGTCAATAACAAGTCTGTATTCAGCTGCGGTGAATGCCGGCTAGGTATTGCCAACGATTTCATGCCAGTTTCAACTTACGGGTGTCCTCTTGAACACTTCAATTGGGCCATGTTGTTCCAAAACTTGTAGGATGGACCTGCGTTCTGCAAAGGTCACTGGAGTTGGCGAGACGAGAACGCGAAAGCTCCGATCGCGATACGAGAGGTTCCCGGTCATCCAGCGACTTCGCGCAGCCATGATTGGGTCTGTTCGGGTATCCCCTCCTGTGTGTGCTCCTATCGGCTCAACAGCTGAGGCACCTTGTGATGCGGGAGCCTCGGAATAGCCTTTTCACTTATCAATGGGGTTCCTATTTGGAGATTCCGCCTGTGGAGCTTGGAGCAAAGACGCTACATTATGCGCAAGGTATGGTAAGCTACCCTATACCTAAATCATTGCATGAGGTCTCGATGAGAGCATCAAGCCCTGTTCATAGAAATCAGTCACTTTTCATGGCCGATATATGACTACAGACACCTTTGGTGTTGAATTTTAAATTGCTTCATGTATCATGTATTTCCATGCGTGGTTGTGAACACGCAGGAAACTTCATGTCCTTGACTTTGATGTATTTCAAGGCTTCCTCTAGCTATCGTTTTTAAGTACTAGACAGAATTGAGGGATGAAACAGACAAAACATCATGATAGACCACGGGTATTAAAAAGACCACACGGCGCGTTTCAAGCAAAAATATCAAATTTAGAAACCAAAAATAGCGCGATACAGGTTTGCGGACCGGACATGCTGCGTAGATCAAACAGCTATAAACTGGAGGGCACTTGAACGGTTGGATCCACATTGGGGTTGGCGCTACCAGTGCCTGTTTCGACCATTGTTCGAGAAGCTCAAGCTGATCAAACCAGCCATTCGCATTTACATTCGACCTCAACACTGAACGAAAACAAATCGCCTAGCTTGGCACCTCTACGACTACAAGCTGCCGACGCTTCCGTCACAAACAACAGGCCGCCGGGTAGCCCTCCGATGTATTGACTGATGCGCCCAGCTTGCGTTTCGCGAGTCTCAAGGCGGCGATCTCGTCTTGCCCGAGCTTGGCAGCAACCCTCTCGCCAGCCTTAACAACCGAAGGAACTCTCGCCCGTCATGTCGACCCCGACTCCCATGAAGCACGGCGTTTCCCAGCAAGGACGCACGCCCTCACAGCTCGCAGCCGCGACACCGCCAGTCTCGACACCCTTCTCCAACCCTGCCCAAGCGGCCTTCTCCCCCCACGGCCCACGGTCCTCCCCTCAGCATGTCAAGAAATCCCCGGCCACGATCCTGGGCAACATGCCTCCCGGCGCCCTGAACTTCGACAGTCCCTCGACATTGGCGGCATTTGGCGGCCAGGCGTTTACCGACCACGAGTTTGAGCAGCAGAAGCAACGCTTCGAGCAGCAAAACCAGCAAGAACGCGCGTTTGCATCCGAGGCAGACAAACTCAAACGACTAGAAGACATCTTGAGTGTTCTCAATGTCAGTACAAGCTACCAAGAAGAGTCACCTCTCCCATGAAAGTCAAGACGCTAACATTTTGTAGAAGAAGAAGGGCCTGGTTAGCGAGGTCGGGTTGGAGCGTCTCGCCGAGCGGAACGGGTTCGATTGCCTGAAAGAAGACACAATTGTTTCGGGAGGCCGAAAGCTGAAGACATTGGTCATAGCAGGGTCCAGCACACAGATTGACATCGTCTTGGACAACAACATCGTGCAGCATGTCACTCTCGCCTTTCCCGGACTGCCAGAGCCCACGGCACGGCTTATGGAGCCGGCGAGCCAGATCCTTCTCCGGGACTTGAAGTTGCGGCCGAAACAGAGCCCATTGACCAAGGAGCTGGACAAATTCGCGTCAAATTTGGAAAGACTGGCAAAGCTCGATCAGCTCAGTATTGTGGAGGCTGGCTTCATCTGCCACGAGGCTCTGACAGGCATCTATAAGAGTCTACAGAGACTTCATGAATGGGATATATCGAAACTACGAGAGCAGCCTTTATATTCTGGGAAACCGCAGCAATTTCTGGCGTTGCAAGCTATGTGCTCGGGACATGGTGTCCCTCTTTTGCATGCACGAGACCGTGTTGGATTAGCTTTGCAATACTGGAAGGAACGCCGCTTTCTCCCACCCTCGGACGACAAGACTGCGGCATATGCCAGTGACGAGGAAAAAGTATGGTCTATGGTCATAGAATGCGCAGCTATGGAAGGCCTTTCTGAGGCCCCAGCCAGGGTTTCGGACGATTGGATCTCGAAGACAATTCTAAAAGGAGGTGTCATGACTACTGACCCCCTGGATATTCACTCTTTGGACTGGCAGGAACCTGATACGGTGGCCCTACCTCCGCCCGAAGAGGGAAAGAAGGACAAAGGCGTGGACATACTTCAGCCAGATATGATGACCACCAAGCGAGTGCCCCAGGTCAAGTTTACGGCGACGTTTGACCCCCCGGTCATTCTCACCCACAGCGACTGGCTTCGACTGTACGAGTTCGTCAATATCGAGGCGCCGACGCAATTTTCCTTCCCACCTACTTTTGATGTGATGCACTTCCCTATACCCCCAGGATCGACTCACGACCCTAGCGAACTGCGTACCATCACGCGACAAAGGCGGGTCCGCGTCTTTGACAAGGATGGCAAGGAGCATGAAAAGACACACAAGAACACCCTATTCAATTATAAGCGAATTTATGGTATGTCGATTCAAGAGCTAAACTTTGCCCACCCAAAGCAGCTTCTCGCCATGCTGCCACTGCTGAGGCAATACGCCTTTCTTTCTATTCTGCTGGAGAATAGCTTCGGCAGCAAGACTCGGAGCTATGAAGCGAACGGTTCCCAACAGAAGCAAGATCTCGGAGCAGACCAGATCATGAGCACCAAGACAGAGGACGCCGAACTGGAGATGTTCCTTCAACAATCTCGCGAAAATGGCGCTAAAGAGCCCCAACCAGCCACGGAACCTGAGGATGGGGAAACCAATATGGACGTCATCCTCTGGGTCCATCCCACTCCGCGTTTGAAGGTCGTCTTCCCATTCAGATCAGCAACGGCAAATGTTGAGATGAATATTCTTCAGAATGGTATTGTGGAGATTACTAATGATAATGTCCTTACCCCCGAGGGCCAAGACAACGAGGAGACTCGAAAAGATAAGGGGAAGGCACTCACGAGAGCAGATCTGGGCAAGTCTCTGGAGTACCTGGAGGATCTGTGTAAGTGGACAGAATGGATTCGCACCAGGCTATCCTGAACCGACCTCTCGGAGACGGAGAGGCTTAGAGTGCAACCCCATGTATTGATACCCCGATAACACTAAATCACCAAGACTGCAAGGTCTCAGTTCCCGAGTCAGCTCCCTTCCGTTCCATCGGCAATTATTCTTGCGTGCTCCGTACACATAGTTCTTTCCCGCCACGGGTTCTGGGTGGCTTGCGCCCACCTGCAGCAGCTGGGCGGGGATTGACGTACCATTTGTCGATTTTGGGTGTATTCAAATCGTAATGTCTCAGGCCTAAGATCCAATAACCTGTCAATACCACCGTCGGGCCCGATCCGACGCCGCAGACCAAAGACACCGCGGCTGCAAGGACCCTCCCTCCCCGTCTGCGCCCATCCACATCCATCCATCGCTGATCAACACCCACTGGGCGCCATCCTCACCTTTTTGTGTACTGCATTTCTTCAGCCTGTCCCATGTCGTAGCGTGATTCGCCATGTGAGAACAGAGCCTTGCCCTCTCCCGCCCCCAAGCGTTCCGTGCTAATCTGCCTCGTGCCATGCGCCGTGCCGTATTGCTTGTGCCCCCCGCGGGTGCCTGCTCCGTGCAACCCAACCACGTATTCGAAGGAGATTTAAGAGGCTCGAACATGTTGCGCGTAACACAAAGGGCCCCGAGCCTCTCGCCCTCTTATCCAAGCCTTCTGTCGATTTTCATCTCTCCTTGCTACATAATACGAGAGCTCTCGACGTCCTAAGATTGGGGAACCAACATCAATCGGTTTTTTTGCTTTTTCCTGCCTTCGACTCACAAGCGCCGTCCTTTCTTCAACTCTGAAACCAATCTCCCCACACATACACACACCACCAACAGCAGAGTGTCAAGATGCCCAAGAAGCCATATCCAATCTCCTCTCCCCTCAGGACTACACAGTCCGCAGACAGCATGCCGCCGGCCGGTCCTCACACATCGACTCCTCCTCCTCCACCGCACCTACAGCAGCAGCAGCGTCAACTTAGACGCAGCCTGCGCACCGTACCCTCCGACATGTTCTCGCCCGTCTCCTCAGGCCCTTCCTCCCCGCCGCCGCCGGTACCACGCCGCCCCAGCAGCGCCATCCCCGTCCGCGGAGAACAGCAGCACTACTCCCCCCCTTCTTCCACTACCTCCTCGTCAGTAAACGACGACGACGACGGACCCAACCGAGCCTCCCTCTCCGTCCAGCCCCTCGCCGTCTCCCGACCTCGCCCAGACTCCACGATCCTCCCCGGCTCGGACGACCCCTTCCTCCTGGACCCGCGACACTTCACCGCCGTCGTCCGCCGCGGCGACACAGTCCAGTACTGGCTCCCCGTCGAGCTGGTCATCAGGGGCCAGCCGGGACGGAGGTGCGTCCCCGAGGGTCACTGGGAGCGCCTCGTCGACCTGGCGGGGGACGTGAGCGTCTGCGCCAACACGGATGGAAACGTGCAGCTCGTGACGGCGTGGTGCCATGCGAGGGAGCTGGCTAGGAATGGGGAGCATGTCAACTACGAGACTACTCGTGACTGAGGAAGTGTATACTTGGGCGGTTTGACTTATTTGTGGACCAGTGGACGTAACATGGCCGACGAGAGGATCGAATGATCTGTCAGGATGTTATGTAGGAAACAATGGAAGTCATGGATAAGAATGTTACTTTTCGATCGTGATCGATGGGCAATACGGATTCGGCGGATCACAATGGCTAATTAGTCCAAGTATAGACATATAATAAACTTCAATTCGAAATCTAAAGAGGGACAGCCGGCCTTTTAATCCAGGTGAAATAAAAAAGAGACAGTTCATAATCCAGTGGGGCGCATCTATATTCTCAATTCTGTTCCCAGCCTAAACTACACCAAACCGCGTTGGGCTCTTCTCCTTCAAGACAGAAACCAAAGCCACCTAGATGGAGAACAAGTAGACATAAGAAAATTCTCCGAACATTAAGTAATTTGAAACATGACGCTGCTGTATAAAGCACTCAGGACGTCCAAAACCTGGTATCGATCGTCTACAGGAAGAAAGCGAGGGCAATACCCATGGCACCGACCAGGCTGACACCAACCTTGGCAGCACCGGCCTTGACGGCGCTGGTGGTGACAGGAGAGGTGCTGACGGGAGCAGTGGCCTGGTTGACGGCGCTGGTAACGGCACCACCGGTAGAGCCGGCAGCCTTGGAGGTAGCGGCAGAGCCGGACTGGACGGCCTGGCTCTGGGCACCGCTCTGAGCGGCCTGGCTCTGAGAACCGCTCTGGGCGCCACCGGTGGGCTGGCTCTGGCCCTTGGACTGACCGGGCACGAGGGTGACGGTAGCGGGGGCGCTGGCAACACCAGTCTTGGTCTTGTCCTGCTGCTCGCAGACGGGGCAGTAGGTCTTGGTGACAACGGACTGGGTGGGGACACCGTTGGAGACTCCAGTGGTGGTGTAGGTGGTGGTGAAGGTCTCACGCTTGGCAGTGCCAGTGGTGGTGGCAGAGACGGGGCAGACAGTGGTGTACCAGGGGATGGTCTCAGTGATAGTCCAGCTTCCCTTGCCGTTGGCGGGGCAGTTGACGACGGTAGGAGGGCACTGGGTAACGGTGCGGACCTGGGTCTTGTAGACGGTGGAGGTGGTGACAGGGACAGCAGGGCAGACAGTGGTGTACAGATCGACAGTCTCAGTGACAACATAAGGACCGTTTCCAGCAGGGCAGTTGGTGACGGTAGGAGGGCACTGGGTGACAGTGCGGACCTGGGTCGTCCTGACAGTGGAGGTGGTCATAGGAATGTCGCCGGAGCCAGTGCTCGTGACACCAGCACCAGTCTGCTGACCGTTTCCACCAGTAGGGTTGGCGTTGCCGCCGGTCTGCTGGCCGTTACCACCAGTGGGGTTGACACTGGCACCGGTCTGCTGGCCGTTGCCACCAGCGGTGGAAGAAGCAGAAGCGTTGCCATTGCCGCCAGCAGTAGAGGTAGCAGAGGCGTTGCCGTTACCACCAGCAGTGGAGGTAGCAGAAGCGTTGCCGTTGCCGCCAGCAGTGGAAGTAGCAGAAGCATTGCCATTGCCGCTAGCAGTGGAGTTAGGGTCACTGCCGTTACCACCAGCAGTGGAGGTGGCAGAGGAGTTACCGTTACCGTTGGCGGTGGAGGAAGCAGCTCCAGAGTTGTTCTGGCCGGGAGTGGTGGTACCTGTAGCACCGGCACCAGGGGTGGTGGTGGCAGAAGCGTTACCTCCGGGGGTGGTGGTGCCAGAAACACCAGGAGTGAAGGGACCAGTGGAGGCAGCAGGAGTAGTAGAGTCGGACTCAATGATGGTGGGGAGAGCACTGAAAGAGTCAGAAGGATCCTCCGAAGTGGCGGAAGGAGTAGCCACGGGGGTAGTGGAGCCCGAAGCGTTGCCGCCGGGGGTGGTGGTGCCCGAAGCGTTGCTTCCGGGGGTAGTCGTGCCGGAGGGGTTGGCGCCAGGAGTGGTGGTACCCGAGGCACCGGCACCAGGAGTGGTGGTGGCAGAAGCATTGCCTCCGGGGGTGGTGGTGCCGGAAGGAGTGAAAGGACCGGTGGGGGTGACATCGGGGGTGTTGGTCTCAGACTCAATGATGGTGGGCAGAGGAGTGAAGTCAGAATCGGAGGTAGGAGTAGCCTCGGGAGTGGTCTCGGGAGTGGCAGTTCCAGAAGCTCCAGGGGTGGTAGTACCAGAGACACCGGGAGTGCCGGTGGCGGAGGGAGTAACTCCAGGAGTAGAAACGTCAGAGGCCGAGGGGGTGGCTCCGGGGGTAGAAACATCCGAGGCCGAAGGAGTAGCGGAAACGTCAGAGGCATCGGGAGTGCTGGAAGCAGAAGGAGTAGCTCCGGGGGTAGAGACATCGGATGCTGAGGGAGTAGCTCCCGGGGTGGAAACGTCTGAAGCATCGGGAGTGCTGGATGCAGAAGGAGTAGCTCCGGGAGTAGAAACATCAGATGAGGAAGGAGTAGCTCCAGGAGTAGAGACATCCGAAGCATCGGGAGTGCTAGAAGCAGAAGCAGAAGGAGTAGCTCCAGGAGTAGAAACGTCAGATGCCGAGGGGGTGGCTCCGGGAGTGGAAACGTCTGAGGCATCGGGAGTGCTGGAAGCAGAGGGAGTAGCATCGGGGGTGCTGGAAGCAGAGACACCAGGCGTGGTGGAAGCCGGGGGAGTGCTGCCAGGTGTGCTCACATCATCATCATCACACTCATCATCGGGGTTGGGAGTGCTGGTGGCGCTAGGAGTGGCAGTTCCGCTGGGAGTACCGCTGGGAGGAGCAGTAGTTCCGCTGGGAGTGCTGGCAGGAGCACTGGGGGTGCTGATGGGAGTGCTGTCTGGGGTGCTGACGGGAGTGCTGAGATCATCGTCGTCACAAAAGTCGAGATCATCATCGTCGGGGATTGGTGTGACAATTGAGCTGGCGGCGGCGGTGGTGGTGCTGATGATGGCAACGGACGAGGTGTCGACGCCACGCATCTCAAACTTGACGGCCGAAGCACTGCTGGACAAAGCCAGGGCCACAGCCGTGACCTTGAGCAAGGACGGGGCCATTGTTGTGTGCAAGAGAGTGTGGTTGTGTATTAATTATAAGTTTGTATGAGCGAGTGGATTGACGATTGCTACGTCAGTAGTAAGTGAGCGAAGGCTCTGTCGACGAGGACTGAAGTACTTGAGGATGATATCCGCGTGGGGAAGGAAGGAGGAAAGAAACTTGAGAGACGCGGGCAGTTCTCGCTTTTGAGAGTGGCCGTGACTGCGAGCGCAGAGCAGCCATCCACGGTATGGAGCCATGCCCATCTCCGCCGATGAGACTATTGAAGATGGCTTCAACGAAGTCCCCGCTAGAGCTGCAGGAGGTCGCTGGCTCAGAACTTCGTCATTGCTAATAGGCACACCCTTGCAAGTTGGGTGTGGTCGAGATCGATATCCCATGCTGGCTCGGAATGACCCAATGGGAATGGTCGCCAGGCCGGTGAGTCTTGCCCGATCTTTCTGGCCAGGGGTGTATCCAGACTCTCTATCTGCCCTTGGCGGTCAGCCAGGCGTCTGTGACCGTTGTCTATGTCGACCTAGCTCCACGGCTGAGGTCGCTTCCTCTTCCTAGTGCTTGCGTGGTGGTGGGCGGCTAATGCAGGAACGTCAGTGCGGCGTCCGCATTAGACGTAGGCCGTTTCCCTTCACACAGCTGATAAGCCACCTGGGCGAGAGTCATGGCCTTGTTCATCACATTGTTTTGCGGCTGGTTTTTGCAGGGCGTGTGCATAGCCTTTTGTGAAATTGCTCTAGTCCGTAACGGTGCTTTTTGATGACAGGAAATCATCCAGGCTGCTTGCTGGTCTAAGTTCAATATATCGGGCAACAATTGCCTCGAGAGATGGGTTGGATCCAGCATAGGGATTTCGCTCTCATCTCTGATATCCGGGTAGTTCTGTTAGGTTTCTCCCGTCGTTCCGATCATGTCTTGGCCCATCTGGATCATTTCATTGGCTCCAAGGTCTTGTCTTGCTCAAAGTCTCGCAGCAAACACAACACACGTGTTGTTGCTGCCGATTGTCCATGCTAACATGGACACAGACCCCACCTAGTTTCGAGGTTTTCACGACCAGAGCAGTGGTTAGCAAGGATGTGAGCCAATCGGGCCACACCTTGTTCCCGCCTAGTGGAAGATAGCCTCTTTTGCCATGCAGCTAAGTCGTAAGCAGGCACCAGCAGCGTGGTAACCAGCTTGCCAGCTTCCTCGTTCAGTATGAGGCAGACGATAAAGTCGCTCCCAGTGTGCTTCTTGACCACCGGAGCTCCCAGATGATGGGTGCCAAAATCTCTCTCGGCCAGGCGAACCGAAAACGTGCGCGACTAGGATGCCGATCAATACCACATCGATAAGACTTGGGCAACGATCGTGATCTTGGTAAGCGGAGATAGGAAGGATATCATTTTTCACACCGGGAGCACCAGAGCTCCAGGCAGACTCAGCTCAGCGGCTGACAACACAGCCGCGATCAGAGCTGGCAGCGGAGCTTCGTCGCGGCCGCCCATTGTGTCCGCTGCAGGGCCGTTGACAAAGGCGAAAGGGGGCGCAGAGTCAGGCCGGGAAGGCTTTCGTGGATGTGCCCGTCGATGGAGCCGATGGGCCTCTTCGAGTTTCAAAAAACAGGTTATCGAAAGCCACGACCCGTTGTGGCGCCCTTCACGGCTGCGTGGTGCAAGTTAAGTTAAATTGGTGGCTGAAAAGATGCGATGCGGTTGGCCCATCGCGGGCGGGTGCCTGCCAAGGCTTTAGGGCTAGCGTTAGGACCAATCGATGGCGCTCCTGCCGCCACACCCTGCTCCACAACGCACCTGCACGTCGAGGCAACTGCAGCCTTCAGGGGAGGTGCAGCTGGGAGCTGGAATCGATAGTACGCCAGGCTATTCGGCACCTGCGAAGCAATATTGCCCAAGTAGCTGGCGGTTATTGTTCATGCAAATGCTAGCTGCTTCCTGCCCGTCTTCAGCATAATGTCAGTTGCATAAAGATGTCCATCCCTCCCCTCCAGTGCTCCCCGTGCTTCTCCCCCGTGGCCCTGTCTCCTGAGCATTCGTTCCGCACCACTGCTATCATTCATTTCCCTCCCTGGGCCTGCCACTGTGGACGCTATGCCCTCTACCAGCTAGAGCATGGCCGATCGGGAGCCGGCAAGCACGTCCGCATCAAGTTATGAACTGCGATGGTGGTCACTGATAACCCCTGAAGCCCGCTGATCATCTCGCCCCCACCCGTGCAAGCACGCACATAAATCGCACTGAAAAAGCTTGGGTGCGGCGATTTCTCTGTTTCTCAGCCTGGGCCTCCGGGAGTAAGCCAGGGGGCCCTTGACCTCGCTTGTTCTTGGCTTCTCACTGCCGAGCTGAGTGGCGAGCACTGACCGGTCTAGGACGTTCTACACAACCACGCACGCTGATTTGAGTCACTTCCGGTTTTTTCTTCTGCTTTCGTCCCGGGTCCGTGGTTGGAGCCTAGATCTGGCTAGCATGATTTCAATGTTTGCTGTCACTCCCCATCACCCAGTTGTGCAATCGATGCCCATCCAAACCTCCACATTGTAAGCCTAACCATCCTGCCTTCCGCCCAGCTGGAACCCGCGGGCGACGCCACTGTCAAATTGTCAGGGGACAACATGTAGTAGTTGAGATGAACAAAATTTTGTTTTCAAAGTAGCGTTTCGCGTATGTAGGTAAGCCGTGCGTGTAAATAATGCCCTGCCCTAAGTGAAATGAGGTTCAGTCGTTCAGGATGCTACTTGCGCCATCGGGTCCTCTCCGCCTGCAGGCAACACGTCAAAACTCGGACGACTTGTGTGTGTGACATTCTGAGGGGCTGTTCCTGCGGCCGTTCCTGCAGCTGTGCCTGCAGCAGTCACAGCGAGGCGTTCCGACGACAATGCGTCGGCGTGCTGCAGGGCCCCTTAATGATTACTGTGGCTGGAGACCAACCGCCGCCGCTCACGCTCTTTTCCCAACTATTGAGCGAGCTAAGGTGTATTCGTTCCCCCTTGCCCATCCTAGGTCACGGCTGCACGCGGAGCGTCTTGTCCACTTCACCGTAAGGCAGATTGCGTCCAGTGCCTCCTTTCCCGAAGGAGGAAATGTGATGGCTTTGTTCTCTTTTGTCTAATAATAGTATTACATGTGAGCGCTGCATCTTTTGGCGAACCTCGTAGCCAAGGTAGTGGCGTTTGAAGTGCATTGGTGGTGGCACAGAGGAAGGGGGGGCCCGCGGCGACCATGGACACTCCTGAACTCCTAGTCCCTTCTCCCCTTAAGATTGGGAGTCAGGCTGATCCTCGCCCTTCCATTCGTTGAGCTTCCCCTTCGCGGGAGGCTTGTTGCTGTCCCTGTACAGGACGACATGGTCGCGGATCGCTGAAGCTGCTGGTCTCTCAGCCTTGCCCTCGAGCGTGGCCCGCCGGACGCGAACCCACGTATCTTTGTCCAGCAGTATGTAGATGAAACCCCTGCGGTCCAGAGCGATAAGCTTCCTGAGGCGCTGCTCCTCCTCGCCCTCCCGCCGAGTGACGACCTCTATGGTCGCCCTGAAGTTGCTCACTTCCTCAACGGGAACCTCCATCACGTCATGGAAGATGAGCCGTCGGATCCATACCTCCCCCTTTACCGATGTGGCAACCATGGTCCAGACGGACTGTGATATCTGGACGCGCCGTCTCCAGTCCTCGGCTGTCCAGGACAGCCAGTCGATCTGCGTGTCCGCCTTGGTAATCTTGGGCGCGTGCTGCAGCGGCTTTCCCTCCAGCTCCTTGGCTTTCCACCCGGCATCCACGTAGGGCGGGACGTGGACGCCATCTCTCAGCCCTTGGACTAGTAGATCCGCGCCCTCCATTGCTAATTTACGATTCACACGCGACAGGGTCGGGTGTTGTATGATTTTCAAACCTGGCGACGGGGTTTGAGAAAGCACGATGCCGTGGTCAATCTTTTCTTCATCCAGCGTTTGGAGTGACGCCCCCATGAACTGGTCTCCCCGCAGGACAGCATGATGAATAGGGGCTGGCCCACGAAGGCTAATTGTTGTGTCAGTGATGTGATTGACTTACACCGTACAAGGAACATTATGGAGTGAACACGTACTCTGGGAGGAATGAGGGGTGGACATTTAACCCGCCGTATTTGACACTTTGCAGTATTCTTTTGGGAATGAACAGCCCAAAAGAAACGACCACAATCAGATTGAAAGTTTTGGGCAGCTGTGTAGAATTAGCTTCTGTGCGTTTCCCGACATCAATCAAAAGTCTGTTTGTTTATAGGCCTCCTTACCTCCCAGCCGGTAAATGTGGTTAATGGATATGTTGAGAGCCCCAAACCATTCGCTGCTCTCATCATCGGTGCTATACACTGATTAGAAATGAACCTGATAAAGAAAATCTGGACATCTCTACACTGAGATAACAACATGACTTACTGTCGAGTATGAGCTTCCGTCCTCTCCCACTTGGTTTCGCGGGAAGCAGCACGCACTCAATGCTCTCAACGAGCCCGGGGTTGTATATCATCTCCTCATGAAGCGCATGCAAAGACTCGGTGCTGACGTTGTCCGTACCGCAAAACAGGATGCGGAGCGGCTCTGACATCTTTCCGCTGGTGGTCCTGTACAGGCTGGTCTTGTGCTGGCTTTTCTGGCTTTTCCATCTCCTTTGCGCAGCCCCCTGCCTCGCCAGCGCGAATGTTGACCTCCTGAGTGAACCAAGCATCTCTGAAGACCATTGATATGATGGACGCATGAATAAATAAATAAGAGTGGCCCGTTCTCGCGACGTGCCGTAATTGACGATGCTTCCGGGGCTGCAGTCATTTTTCCTTAAAGTGGTGACACAGTGATAATCGCGTTTAGTGCATGGACGGTTACATGCATATTTCAACTCCAACAACGATGCGCAAGTCGTAGATGCACCATAAACAGAAGATTTTCACCTTGACTTATTGAAAAATATACATTTATTCTATCGTCCAATCGCAAGCTACTGTCCAAGTGATGTCATCCAGCTTCACCTCCCAAAAGGGTTGCCAAACAATAGCTATACTGCCCTGTGTAACAATCGGTTTCCTCCCCAGCTCCACCACTCTGCCCTCACCCGCGAGAATGAAGTTCTGTTGTTCCTGCGGCTCATTAAGTTTGATTCCCCGAACAAGGTTCATGGCCGTTCCGGGACGCAATTCGTCCACCCTAATGCGAAATGTAGATTCGGCGTGGCCGTCCTTCCCCTCCCCCTCCCGTACCTCTGAAAGCCACCCTTGCAGCCCTGCAGCCAACCCCCCGGGAACATATTTCTGCCCGCGACGTCGTGGCGAAAAGAAATCAGGCAGTTCCGCGATTGGCACGTCGTCTTCGAGAGGCTTGAAGCGAGGGGGTGCTCGGAATGTTGGTTGCTGAGGGCCGTGGCTCTGCATCGCCGTCTCCAAATCAGACAGGTCGGGGCTGCCCTCACTTCCATGGTCCTCAGCGAAGTCGGATCGCGGGGAGTTGTCCTCAATGACCCGTTGGAGTTTCTCCTGGAAAAGATCCTCGCCTAGATGATCGCTTGCCTGGGGACTAGACGTAGGGAGGGGCGAGATGGAGATTTTGCGTCTCTTGGCCAGAGGTGAAGAGGGCATGGGTTCCTCCAAGTCCTCATCAATGGAATTATAACGCCATGAACTTTGCGGCAGGTCATCCTGGGATGATTCGTGAATCAGAGAGTCTGAAGGTATCATAGATTCAACCTCAATCGATTCCTCTAGGGACATATGCCCTCGGGTCCGCCGAGGGAGCTCCTCCTGGGCCACTTCCAACTCTCCGAGACTCTCATGGTCATCATCTACGGAAGAAGACTCCGGGCCGGAGAATCCACCTAGATCGTTCTCATCCACATCCTCAATACTCCTCGATGCTTGGGTTGCCCTTGTGCCCGAGGAGGCGAACCGAGGTGTGGGCTGGAACCTCGGTGCCTGAGACGACTGTGTCGAGCGCTTGGGCAAGAGGAACTTGCTCGCTGCTGGGGTCTATCGCGGAGAGTCAATTTCTCTTCATCTTCAAAGGACTTCGCATAGATCGTGCCCTCGCGGGACTGCCACTTGATGTAGGGTAGCGAGATGATTGGGGCTGCCTTACTCGAGGTGTTGAATTCATAGCGTCATGGAATTTGGGCTGCACGCATTGCCCAAAGGGCTTGACTTGCCCGAACGCACGGCGGGGGGAGACACAGGGGGATAAAGTTGCCTGGTCTCATTATCAATCCGAATGTGCGACGGCCATTCTTGTTCAAGATGTACATATGTTCAAAAGAGGTCGTGCCACCCAACCACACAAAGAGGGTGAAACCTGAAGGTAAGACGCTCTTGTGCTTAACTAGGTAACTCTAGGTATTTTGGTGGGGCAGGCAAGTGGGCGACAAGAGAAATGAGACACTTAACGGAACAGAGGCTGTACAGACAGGTACTTTTCAAGATGAAATTCAGTAGTGTAAATAAAATAAAGGACAATATATGCTGTATTATCTCTTAAGTATATTTTATTAGCACTTAATAATCTGATAAAACCGGTCGCAGACTTGAGAATAAGCAGCATAATGTTTGAGTGTCTCAATTTCAATGTCACCCACTTGGCAGGTCATGGCACACGAGTCGTCGCGATACAAACAAAAGTGTCAAGCAGGCACATTTCGCACAGGTCCAAAGTGTTTGCTTTATTTGTATGGCTCATCACTGCTACCATTTCTCTCTAGAGGGCAAATTAAGATATTCACAATTCATCAGGTTTAAACATTTTTTCTTATAACCACTATTAAACTGCTCCTAGCTCCCGCAAGCCACCATCCTCTCCTAGCTGGCCACCTCACAAGGCTGTTAAATGATTTCATGTTTTCTTTCGTAGGCGTACATAAGGTCGTCCCAAGACCTCTTCTCATAGTGCCTCGCAGTGCAGAAAGACCGCGGAATAAGATATCTCAACACCAACGCCGTACTGGGCATCTTGTCTGTGCCCTCTTTAAACTCTTTACCCCTAGCCCAGTATCATGCTGAAAAGTATGCGCCGTTTTGACAGACGAAAAATTAACGAAAAGAAAAGAAGCATTATAAGAGAATGTCCCACCATCATAGTACATTGAATTCCTCCCCGTGAAACAGGCCAAAATCGACCACAAATGCGACTGATAACGCGATGCCAGTTGGTGGCCGAAGTGATCAACTACATTCCCATGAAAACAGGCGTCGAAGCACAGTCTGGCTTGTGGTAGATGCCGAGGCCTGCATTTGTCATGAAATGCGAAAAATATGCGAGAAATGCAGATATATTGACAGAAGCGCCTCCCGATTCTAGTACAAGAGTTGAAAATTTTTTAGCCATAAGCAAGTTCAAAGCCCGATGCATGGCCTGGCTTTGTTGGTTCAGAATCTTTGACAGGGTGCAGCATGATCGAGGGGAGACATGGGCGGCCATGCTTCCTCTCCCACTGGGCACCACCGATGTTGGTGTCGGTCCAGCCCATCCAGTTGTTGTAAAGGCGATTGGGTGGTTCTGCGCGATAATACCAAGTGACGCCCTGGTAACGTCGCTCGCGTCCCCAGCCCATGGGACTGCCATATCCACCGCTCTCGCCATGGACGCCGGGGTTGAACCACTTGTTGACAAACTTGCCATCCCACTCTCTATCCATGAACACAGGGTGAGGAGCAAAGACTGCCTTGAAGCCATGCAGGAGTGCTACGGTTTGAGGGGTCATCTCAGAAGCCACGTGGTTGCCGCGCATGTTCTCCACGTGCATGACATCCAACAAGCGCTTGGAGACTCGAGACTGCGTAACAATAGTGGTACGGCGAGGTACATCTTCTGAATGATGTGTCTCATCATTGTAACCCCAGACATGGGACCCGATGATCCAGTTACTGTGAATAGGGTTGAAGATTGGCCCGACGGTAATCATATCTGCTTCCTCTCCAACACCCCAGGTGTAGTCGTCCTCTTCGGGGGTCTTGGTGGGTGGTTTCGGGCCGACAGGGTTGATAAATGGCAGGTCGGGGGCGCCCCATACAGTGCCGGTCTTGTGGCGAGATTCGACGTCCTTGCGAAACGTCGTGTCGTAATCACCATGGTACTCTGGGACGTACCAGCGTTCGTTTCGTTCCCACAAGCCCCTACGTGGCTGCTTGCGTGCGAATCCAGACAGTTTCTCGAGGAGATCATAGTGATGCCCGGTGTAGCGGAAGTCCATCTCCCAATTCCAGATGAAGTCAAACTCAGGGTGGTCGTGGCTGAACTTTTGGACTGAAAGCCACTGAGCTGTGTGCACAGTCCTTTCATTCTCGTCCTTGAGCTCGGTGTAAATGTCCCACACGACCTCGTCGTTCCAGAGCACGGTGATGCCGTGGAATTCATCAGGGATGTTTTCACGGATGACTCTCTGATGAGTCTCAGCATCGTCGAAAATTCGTAGCTCGCGGTCCTTGACATGGACGAGGAGGAAAACTTCATACTCTCCTCCAGACTTCAGCGACACTTCGTTGATCATAGCACGAATCACCTGCTTGTCATTCTCGGTGTATTTTTTCCCAGTATACGACCGAAGTAGAATCGCTGTGCGGTTTTCTTTGACGAACTCGCTGCTGTCGGACCGAATCTCGGGATAGGTCTCCTCAGTAAAACGTGTCTTGATTTTGGGAGCACCATTGAGTCCATGAGTTACAGTCTCGTCTGGTTTGGATGTCTCGGAGTAAGCTTCGAGGTATGGGTTCTTGCGACTCTTCTTGAGATCGAAACGTCTTTGGTTCTTGTGAACACATTTTCGCTGGAGATCGCCCCAATTGACATTGTTCCAGTTGATGGGCGCGAGCTCACCACCGGGGTTCTTCTTCTTTTGCTGCACGTAGCCATACTGGCCCAGACGTGTTTCCCGCTCCCAGCAGAGATTGGCATCCATGTCCAAGACCTCGTAGCTTCCAAATTTAGGGGATGGGAATCGGCTGGGACGTCCCTTGAAGACCATGACATCTTCAACAAACTCTCCAGTGGCGCCGATGCAGGGGACATAAGGCGCATGGTTGGCGGTCTTCCATGCGTCACTGTTGTAGTCGGGAAATGGGTTAAAGCGAACTGGCTTGTCCTCAGTGAACTGCAAATGAACGTTGGGGTCTTCCCTCAATTGTTGTGCGTGCTTCGCAGTTCGGTTATCCTTGTAGTCAAGAGTTTTGACCGTGTTGCCGTAGATCAGGTTCGATGATGGGGAGCTAGCGATATATAGGTCAGTCTCATAATATTCCAATCTCGATAATTTGATCGGGAAATACTCACTCTGCGGTGATTCGGTAAGAGTAGCGCCATAGTTTCCTCATGTCTTTTTCAGCTTGAAGCCTGCTGATGGTGCCCGCATCTCGGTCCTTCCCATCGGTCTCGTACCCCGGCTCGACATCGTCATAGTCTTCCCTATCATCTGCTTCCTTCCAATCCCTGATATCTTCAATGTCAACATCCCATTTGTTCTTGACTTCAGGGACATCGAAGAACCCAGCGCCTGGTGGCTTGTTTTGGTCGACAAAGCTGTCGGGCTGTTCAACGTGATTGTCGACCTTATCGCCTTGATTGTCTACAGGCTTATCG